TATTTTATGGCCAAGCACATGAATACACTTACGTGAAGAAATCTTCAATAGGTTTACCAATGTTTTCCACAAGAGAGTCTCTAAGGGATTGGTTCACACTCTTTCCGTTCTTCTTTTCCCACGTGCTTATTGCTTCTGAATTATTCGTGAGGACCTCAAGAAACTCATATTGCAACAGACGTTTGACAAAATCTTCTTCTAAGACACCTAGTTAACGTGGGAAGAAATTTAAAATATGTAAATGGACGACCCAATAACATCAAAAGCTTGGTTAACATTAAAAATTCTTACCCTTTGCCCCTTTAATTGATATTTCTCGGAAATACGATGTTAATCCGTTGATACCAGCTTTGCATTGTTCAACTGAACGTACCATTCCGACCAAAACGCCATACTCCATGTTCTTCCTGTATTGAACAAATGTTTCTTTGATTTCTCCGAATTTTTTCAGTAAATTTTCCAAGTCTTCGGTGCTGTTTGGTTTGAAGTGATAAAGACTGTTTTTCATTTCAGATCTAGTATCACACAGGGGCTGCCAACACCACAGATTTGGACCAAGGAGAAAATCACCCGCGTAATAATTGACATCGTACGGCGTTCCAAAAATGTGTTGCAAATAGTGCTTTACCTGAGCCAAAGCCTTCCTTTCGCGTGGTTTCAATTTATGCGATTCAAAAGTTATTGCATTTATTTCATCCAAAAGGGCCAGTGCTTTATCTGTAATAATCTTGATATTTTGTGGGGACGGGTCATAAGAGCGATATTTTGCTTGTATTTCTGCTGAAGACACTTTCGGCTTTGAAGAGATTTTATTTGGATGAAGCTTGTAATAGCTGTCTTGTACTTTCTGGAGGAACTTGTCCAACCCCTTGGTGATGGCCTCCTCCGAGTAGGAACATTCCTCTGTTAAGTTAAGAGATTTTCTATTCGATGTATTGCTGGAGCCCTCGGAGCATGATGCATCACCTTTGCTTAGGAGTACGATTCCAGCGATGAGAAAAGCAAGGCCAGTAATGGCCAGAAATCCTGCTAAAACCAACAAGTAGACAACACGCATCGTCTGGCACAGCGGAACACCTCTTAGCCAAATGATGTTGAGATACACTGAAGAAACTCACTGAGTGAAATAAAAATATACAACGCGGTAATGAAAATAATTTGTGATAATTGATGAATTGACTCAGCATGCAGGCTTCCACCCATAGACACCTTCAAAAAGTAAACTATGAAAACAAAAAAAGTTCCCTCTCGTGGTTGTATTCGGTTTGGATATTTCCCGAGCGGCGTGCATTAAATATATGCATCACCAGCGGGAGAAACCAGTATAAACTTAAAAGGAACATCAAATTCAAGCTTATTTACTTCTTAAGGGGTAATAATTCATTACAAGCCTGGGATTTGCATTTCAAGGGTCTCGCTGGGTACATTCAAATATGTATTCAACTCTAATTATCAACTTGTTAACTCGAATCATTTCGTTTGGCTTTCCTTTTATACCATAAACTGTGAAAAATTAACAATAATAAAGGTTTATTACAAGGAAACGATAATCATTCACGGAGATAGATTATGCAGATTTGCTTCACAGATCATTTGTAAACAATGGCCAATTTATCTAGAAGCTTCTGCATGGATATGAGTTTACTTTCTGGTAGGCTTAAACATGTTTTACACATGGAGGACGACGCACAGCCGACCCAAAAATTGCATTTCACTATAGCACAATTTATTCTCGTCTCAAACTTTAGTTATATCACATATCTCTCGAACACCGAACGCATTTACGGTCCGCTACCTTAATAAAAATTATGCAGGGTGCTGTAAGTGACTTAGGAGGTAAACAAGTGAACAATCCAAATGGCCGATTAAAACAATAATTCAGTGAGTTTGTGGTAAGCGTTTTAAAAATTTCAAGTCGTTGATCTATTCTACATCAAACTTCCTAGCGTCTTTCAATAGTAATCGAACTGAGTTCGAGCAACGAAACCGAAAGCTGATAACTAATTCATCAACGATTGCGTGACTGTGTAAGCAAATTTGAAAAATCACTGTAATTTTACATCAGTCGCAACGATATCACAGTAAAACCAGCGTTTGTTTGCAACAATTTCCATTTTGTCGAGCACTGAGTTCAATAGATTCATAAGTGCTTGGAATAGACAGTCAGTGATTTTTGCGAGAAACCATGATTGGAAAACACTACGTAAAATCTTAACTTCATTAAGTCTTTCTTCTAAACAACCGTGATCTTTCTAAAATATCGATCCAATTCTTGTGTAATTTTTAAGGCATGCCCCTCTTAGTATCCAATTTGTATTCTTTTCTCTGTGTGAATGTGGATAAACCTATTGGTGTTTTCTTTTGTTTAATGCGATTACCGATCATATCATTCGAAAAGGGCAAGGAATGAGAAAGCTACAATAATACTAAGGAATTCTGCACAGTTCTCTCCCATGTTAGCAACTTAAAAAGAGCCTTTGTTACTAATAGAATGCAAGAATGAATTTAGTGCATTATGAACCCTTAAAGATGAATCTTTCAACAGCTTTCAGTTGGAATCCGTCGCTCATGTTTTTGCTAAGTGCCACTGTTTCACTATGTTGTTCAATATCGTTACGAATCACCATACAGAATGAAGCTGGATGATGAATCAAGCTGAGCAGAAGAGGACGCAGTCGAGACCAAAAGTTAAGCATGCTGCAGTTGAAGTTTACCTTTTCGATGAGATCTTTCGTGGAATGGAATGGCAGAGAGGACAACGAATAGCAACTGCAGTAGAGTCAATGCATCCGAGACATCGGCCAGTCGCTCAAGCAGGTGGCGCGTAGAATATTCAAGTGCTAATTTGATACGACGTAAGCAGAACAATAACTCGATTGTTTCAGTGACAACTAACATATGTCACACCACATTGTGTTATCGTAAGACCTTTTTTGGTTTAACTCGCAACTGTTGTTTGTCGCTTCGCGTCACATTTGATTGAAGCTAACAAATCACGAGCAAGTCGTTTAATAGACCGTGAAAGAAGGCTCTCGAGGCAAACCTCAAAAAAAATTTATTAATTTTACGATGAAGAAACTTTGAGTTCCCGCGGCAAGATAAATTAATCCGACTGCCTTTGAAATTGAGCACAGCATATTTAATCTGACACGACAACCGATGGGTTTATTCAGCCAACATTCATGACATTGCGTCAATACTTGCAAGCCAAGTTATGCACTGTAAGTATTTGGGTCTAGCTAGTCATATGTCATTTCGGTTACTAAACGTGACAGTTGCAAGGTGCTGAAGCTCTGTTAGTACAAATATTCTCGGCCCACAACACAGCAGGTCCTCAACTGATAGAGTATGAGTGTCAGAAAATCAAATCAGTCAGTGAAGTGCAGTAGGAAAGTCGATTCATTTAATAAGGAAGGCAGCAGTTGATGATGATGATGATGATGATGATGATGATGATGAGGATTATTATTATTATTATTATTATTACTATTATTTCTTTCATTTTTCTTTTTTTAAACGAGCGGCTCTCTTTTAATATGAGTAGATTAAGAGGAAATCAACATTAATTTCTGTTCGATAAGACGCAGTTTTACTGGGGACAGACGGCTAAGTTTTCCCCTTTTATCATTTTTGGAACCCGACACTGAAAAAATAGACCGAGGAACTGCGAAAATAATTATTGAAATGGGAAGACTGACGAGGACTCAGCCTGCAAAAATAAATGTGGATTACCCCGATTCTCACCGGGCTGAGTTCGTCAAACAATTTTCAATTCGATTTTTCATTCACTTGAATTTACCGGGAGTTTTGGATTTTAGGGGCTTATTGCTACTTTTAAAAAATAAACTTGGCATATCCTGTAAAAACATTCAATTTATTTTTCATGAGTGTCATATGCAAAACAATGAAACAAGTTTATTTTTCCGATTTTTGATTTGTATTTCACCATCGCAGTCGCGTTTGCATAAGAACATTGTGCCCTAAGGGAGGCCACTTACACTATAACAACTCTACCTCTAAAAGTGTTGGGTAAAAATATTCCAAAAAAGGTTAGGATTGAACAAAAACATTTCTCAATTAACTAATTAAATGGATATTTTGACATGAAGATTCACAGAACTTCTAGAGTCCACAAAATAAACAATGTCATTTTGGCCTTTTAAAGCCAAAGATGCACTGAAATTCATGATTTTAGTTTAACTTAGGAAAAAAAGCACTGTAATCTTACATTCCAAACATGAGAAGATTTGCATACAATGATGGAAAGTTATCTTTGGATAGGTGTCAGTAGTTTCGAGATCAAATTTTGAAGGAAAAAATGTTTAAAGTCAGCAAATTATTTTTTTAAAGACTCACACAGTTTCTTTGTGAAGAACTGACCAAGGCTAAAGTTTAAATTTTCATTTTGCTCTTTGCTGTAATCGTTTGTTCGTTCATTCCTGTAGCTTGTTTGCCTCTATATTGCGTATCATGTACTCTCTTGGTAGGAGAGAGACGATCACGAGCCTATTTCTCGAAAAGTGGCTAAAAACAGAGCCTGATGCGAATTGAGTGAAGAAGGAGGTTTAAATCGCCCGAACGGAAATATCACCACTGAACGAGCCCACATTGTCACGTGTTCTAAAATGCATCCGTCAGTCTAACTATTCACCAGTTTGAAGCAAGCTAAGTTAAGTTTTCCTATCACTTCCATATATCATTCCATATAGGAAACTTGTAGAGAATTACACTATATTGCCTACCTTCGCAGTTTTCAGTTTTTGCCGATAACATTCTGATATTTACACGTTGGATGTCACCTACCAATTTTTGTTATAAAATTGAGTGAATTGCATTTTGTATGGTTCCATTTCAATTTTTAGGGATTACACCAAATTCCCCACTATGTTTATGTGATACTTTCATTTGTGATTCGTAAATACAGAAGTAAGTGAGGCGGGCATGAGATTATATGGTTAGAAATCCGCAAGAGAGCAGAGGAAATTAAATTGTGCTGGAATGGTTAATATTTGACTTATTTTGTGTTGACTTAAATTTCCCAATCTGCTACCTCTGTTTGCTCATGTTGACAGCTCTCCTGTGGTCAACAATAGAAACATGAAAGGTCTATTATAAGCCTATGATCCGAGGACATCTTTGGCAACCAAAAAATCTCAGTATGTTTGCTATATACATCAAGCTTTTCTATTTCCGTTGAAGGACATTTTTATCATTGCCACGATGTTCGGCGCTTTTACGTTCCCGTTGATTTTATTCACAGTTATCGTATTGTTTTTTAATTCAACCGAATTCATCCCGTACCACGGTTCGCAAACATTTCTTGGTTACGATTACTGGACGCGCCGGTATCCGTCCTTGGATTACTCAGATTGGAATGGCTTCTGGAATAATCACTACAGTGGTCGGACTCAGTATAAGCGAGCTTCCTCGGAGACGGCGGTACAAGAATGCACGGGCTGTCAATGTGATGATTTAAAGCAAGAGCTAAGATGTTTTGGTAGCCCTGGTATATTGTAAGTACACTTTGTTGTCTATTATTCTATTGTATTTTAAGCCACTCGGTGAGTTTATTTAATTAACCCTAACCTTTTACAGATAAAATGCTCGTGAATAGCACAGCATTTTGTAGTGAATGGCAGGAAATCGCGTCAAGATTTCTAACTTCAGTTGTTTGCCGACATACTAGGAAACTGTGTCTACACTTGTTAAATTACCAAACATTAATCTCAGAGCCCTAAAAGCTTGGACGGCAAGAAAATTTCGGACTTGCCAATCTAATGAAGATCTCGCCAGCCTTAATCATACAGTATCAATGGAAAATTATGGGTTGAAATTTTAAAGGTCATGTTTGCTGACAGTGTTCTACTTCTTTGCGAACGCGGGCCTTAGAGAAACAAAGATTTGAGTTTCTGTTGTGAATAAAAATCGAACATTCGATTTTAAAAGACATTATGTAAGTTGACAGTGCTTACTTGGGTATTTGCTCAGCATGCATCTTGGATCGAGGGAAAGGAAAATCCGATAGCAAAACAGAGCAATTTAAGTCAGTGTAGGGACAACAAATTCAGTTTTTTGAGACCTCCCTCGCACCATTTTGCCTGTTTCCCTCTTGCCTCTCAAACGATCGCTAGGTACCTGATTTCAAGTTTATTAATCAGTTAAGTTAATGAATTGATCTAATGAATAATGTTGAAGACAACAATTCTGACGTACCTGACTTTATCGCGACAAAATATTGCAGCTGGAGTTCTTGGACGTCTTGGTTAATTCAGCAACTTACTAGAAATTATTCTTTTCTTTATCATTTCTTTTTTTCATTAATAATGCTCTTGTGCGCTTTCAAAACATGCTGTCGGGTTAAGCAAACAGATCACTACTCTTTAACGTACCCTCAGGTCTACTCATCTGAAATATTTGCGGAGTGCCTTTCGTTTGTTCAAGACATGACATTTCGATGAATTGTAAAAGAATTCCAACTTTCCCTAAAAGTCACTGACCTACGCGATTGTGGAATCTTGGACATTGGACGAGAAAAAGCCCTTGGAAGGTCGCTATCAACACGGGATAATTGTCATCAAGTTGTTTTAGACGCAATGTCGTGTTCTCCAACGATGAAATCGCTACAAAAAATATTCATTTTATTGCCCATTTTATTTCCTAATCTTGTTGTGTCGGTGCCCAGTCATGGGACACAGACATTTCTCGGTTATTCATATTGGACGCAAAGATATCCCTCGTTGGGATACACTCCCGATGATTGGCAGGGACTTTGGAATAATTATAACGATGGGAGAAAAGGGTATCAACGAAAATATTCAGAAACCAGAGGTACAGGAGAATGTTATTATTGTCTTTGCGACGAAGTAACAGAAGAGCTTGATTGTCCGGAGTCACTGGAAAAATTGTGAGTCGACCATTCTGTCATCATCTTTTTCAAAGTTTTTTTCCTTTCCTCATTCTTATGATACAGCGTTCTGGCGCTCAGTAATCACGTATCAATGCCTTTGACGTATCCAGTTAAGGCCATGTGGCCATGAGTCTACGAAACGCATGCATTTTGGTAAATTTGATTTCAAGAAGTATAGAAAAGTATTTAATGAATTAATGATTTGCAAAAATATTTATAACTGGAAGTTTACAGCATTTTACACTCACGTTGTTATAACGTTACGATGAAATACGTTGTTCTGCATTAAATATCGTTCCCCCACTTTTCTAGAGGTCATTCTCTACGTAATATTATGATATCACTCTGAAATCTAGGCTGAAACGTATCACATTATTAAATAACCCTGTAAGAATTTCTGTGAAACATTCGTTAGCCATCCAGTTAATATCAGAATGCACGTGTTCATTATTGCTCCGGCAGGAGGCTCTAAAACACGATTTCATCTAAATTTAATTTTTGACCATAACTGATAATTATAGATTAGTTTTTGCTTGGTAACTATGCGTATTTGAAGATGATCCTTCATGTTTCATTTATAGATTTCAAATAACCTCTGGCGTGCCTCAGTGTTAATTACCATAGTAAGGCGAACGAAAATTTATAGCTTACATTAACACGTTCTTAAATTTCTGTTTCGTTACAGGACTGTACGAAACAAAGTCATAAGAGTTGTTAGGAATGGTCAGTTACCAAGGAAATTGAAGGAAATGTAAGAAGTATTTTTAGAGAGACACGAAAAAAACTTAAGTATGCGAAAGTGGCATATTAAATTTAGGAAGCACGCTCAGATGTTAGAACAAATTTCACAAAACGAATTTTCAATGATGAGGCGATGATTAAGAAGTCGTGGTTCTTACTGCGTCATTCCTTTGTTTTCTTGTAGACACTATACTTTCACATGTCTCTTACCACCTACAGTAGAAGTATAACCAGCCAACTCTCAGGGAAGCCTGACGAAATGCTGCAGAATAACCTGCAAATGTCTAGAGTTCCATCGGGGGGGGAGAGACCATAATCTTAGTCGCTTTGCGCCACTTAGCTTGTTTTAGGGATGGCCCTCCCTTGTTCGAATAGTCTATATGGAGAAGGTTGAATTATAGATTTTAAACGGAATATTTGGCCTTATTGCCAACCTTTTTGCCAACATATTTAATCTAACCAAAGGATAGGAAGTATGATTAGCAAACATTTCTGTGTTTTAAATTTCTGAGGCAATATCCTTATCATGGAAATTTTTTAAAAATTTATTGAATCGTTTTCTCGGAAATTGTACTCATTTTATTCACAGAAACATATGCCAAAATACTAAAAAGAAAATTTATCATTTCTTTTTTGCGTAGCAAAATTTTTAATTCTCAGCTGAAAGACATCGAAGAAGAAGCATTTCACAACTTGACGGAACTTCAAGAATTGTAAGTGTTTGTATCCGTGAAACTTAGCAAAGTCATAGGAGGTAAGAGAAATTAGTAGAGTACAGACTGGGGGAAGATGAAAATTTAATTCATATCTTTTCCATTGTATATGTATGTAACAGAAATCTGGCCATGAATAACCTCAACGATTTTCCGGACTTGTCCACCAACACAGCCTTGCAAGAGTTGTAAGTGTAACTCATTTGAAGCGTGGGATGTTGTATTGAGGCTCGTGTCTTTCTTCAGTCATTAAATTCGTATGCTTGTTTATTCCTTGGTTGTTTCGTGTAATCTAATGGGATGATTTTTCCTTTCAACTATTTCTTTACTCATTTATGTATTCATTCCTTCAGTAACCTGTTGATATGTTAGCCATTCTTAAACGTTTGTTTTGTTTGCTGATATCAATTGGATGTCATGCTGAGAACGTTTTTTTTGTGTTTTTTGGTTTTTGTTTTTTGTTGTTATTTTTTTTCATTCTATTCAGAGTTTTATTATTTTAATTAATTTTAAATGAATTACAATTCAGAGATGTATATCAGAACAAGATAAGGCTTTGGCGCCACAATTACACTGCTTTGCCCAAGAATTTAGAGAAGATGTAAGTTTACATAGTTTGCTGAATTTGAAAAGACATCCACTGCACTTTTTCTAATTCCATATAATTGTACTTCCTTACTTCTTTATCTTGCAGAATTCTCATTGACAACGAGTTTGACTGGATCCCTGAAAAGTGGTTTGATCAGCCAAATTTGAAATACATGTGAGAAAGCTGAGTTGTCCTCTCTGTCAACATGGATCTCGATTCTTTATAATGTTCCTGTTGCCTTTATTGTCTTTTCATGTAGTTTAGTCCTCCTTCAGCAGGATATGGCCATTTCTGAATTTTTGTCCTCTGTTTCTGTTACTATGTAACAGAATTCCACATACTATGCTGTTAAGATATTGTTCTAGTCACTATGATTTGGAGTGTAATGATAATAGCTCGCAATTGATATGTGTTTGCTCGATTTTCTGTCCTTTCTTCATTCTGTTTCAGAGCTCTGAGTAAGAACAAGTTAAAACGGTTTCCAGGAGCTGCTTTTATCAACTGTAGATCTTTGGAATACCTGTGAGTAAGGTTTCTAAAACACATTATTTCTATTGACTATTTTTCCACCGCTATCAAAGTACGATCTATTTACACATTTCAACATTTCTGTTGTGGCAAATTGTGTAGACGTGTAACCTATAACTTTATAGCAACAAGAAGAAAGAAAAGTCGTTTCCTACAACTGGTGACATATTTTAAGTGCGTTTGTTTGTCTCTTGGATTGTTTCTTTGCTTTCCTCGTAACAGAAGTAGTATAGGGACTTACCACCAGCTTGCATGCGCGAAAAAGTGTCAAATTTTGACCCAAATTAAGAGTCCAACAAACAAAATAAGTGAGGAGAGCAGACCATTTTCCCCTACTTTTGTTTTCTGACTGGCAAATGTTATGCTATTTTTATTGTTTTAACTTGAAGATCCGTTGACTACAACGAAATAACGTCCATCACATCTCCCAATCTGCAACCATTTTATGGAAATAATTCTCAGCTTCTACATTTGTAAGTAATATACTGAAAAAATTTTTCCGTCAAATGTTATACGCTTGTTTTCGTTAATCCATCTATTCTATCTTTCATCTATCTATCCATCTATCTTTCTACCTTTCTATCTTTCGATATTTCGATCTTTCTATCTATCTATCTGTCTACCTATCTATCCATCTTTCTACCTATCTGTATTTCTATCCTTCTATCTCTCTATCTATCTATTTATCTATCCATTTATCCATCTTTCCATCGATCTATCTATCTACTTATTTATCTATCTATATATCTATCTTTCTATCTATCTATCTATCTGCCTATCTATCTAGCTATATTTCTACCTATCTATATATCCATCTGTTTATCTATTTATGTATGTTTCTATCCTTCTAGCTTACTATCTATCTATCTTTCTATCTATTTATCTATTTATTTCTCCATCTTTCTATCAATATTTTCCTCTATCTTTCTATCAGTATATCTATCTATCTTTCTATCTATTTATATTTCTATCTATCTTTCTGTCTATCTATCTTTCTATCTATCTATTTATTTCTGTTTCCATTTATCCATCTTTCTAACTATCTTCTTCTCTATCTATCTATCTATCTTTCTATCTTTTTATCTTCCTATTTATCTATCTATCCATCTATCTTTCTATTTATTTATTTATCTATCTATCTATATATATCTCTATATTTCTATCTTTCCATCTTTTTATCTAGCTATTTACATATCTATCTTTCTATCTATCCATTTATTCATCTTTCCATCCATTTTTTCTCTGTCTTTCTGTCAATCTATCCATCTATCTAATTTTGCGAGTTCAGACATACATGACTAAGCGCACGCGCATTTCCTAATATATTACAGACGGGAAAGTATCAAAGGCCATTAATTTATTTCAGGAACTTGAGCAATAATGCTATAAGCAGCATAGCCTCAGAGGCTCTACAGCATCTGATTCATCTGCAAGTTCTGTAAGTACATAGTTACCTGAGATTAGGCGGAATGAGAAAAGAAGGTTTGTGAAAAGGCTCTACAGCATCTGATTAATCTGCAGGTACGGAATAGGACAGGAAGGCTTGTGGAAGATACAATTAAGTTAGACCTTCTGAGATACGACAAAACGTTTTGAGTAGTTGCCGTTAGCTCTTTTTTGTATTAACCAAACTGAAGGAAAAGATCGTGTATCTGATGCAAATGTTAAAAGTTACAAGTTTGATCTATTTGCTTTTTTTGTCTGTCAGGGAATTACATGATAATGACTTGGAACTTATTGGTCCGAAGGTTTTCTACAATATACCAGAGCTACTGCATCTGTGAGTTCAGTTTATTCTATTGAGACTAAAACATGTGTATGTAAAGCAATAGAGCAATAAATCATGAGGAGAGATTGACTTAAAATACAACAATAAGAACACGCTTTATAGTTGCTTTGTTTTTGTTTTTTGGTTGGTCATTTTTCGAAACAGTTGATGTCTATTTTGCTTGCCTTACAGAGACCTATTGGGCAACAAGCTAGAGACCATCGCTGGACAAGGATTTAGCCCTGCGTTCCAGGATCTTCCCAAACTAAAATGCTTGTGAGTTTAACGAACCCCTATCCTTTAACACGCAAGGAAAACTCGACACAGAGATAGTTGTCATCCGATTTGTAACCTGACTAGGATAGCCCTTGATAACGTTCTTAATTTGAAAACAAATTTAGTTGACCCACAGCCTTTCAAACGCCAAGCCTTACGAGGTTATCAAAGTTTAAGTTTACAGCCAACAGTTTAATCATTACCGTAAAGGTGTATCTTCTTCATATTGCATTAAATGAAGATTTGATTTCATTCGACGTTGCTGTCTCGTTGTCTTAAGGCGATGGCTAATGTTGGTGAGGTTGCTTATTGTTTCTTTTCCCTTATTTTTCTTCCAGGGTGCTAATGGGACAGGATCCCAAAACACGTCACGTGATGTTTAACTCATTTGTCAATCTACCTACGTTGGAAGACTTGTAAGTATATCTTGCATCTTTACAAGTATTAAGTAGATAATTCTCGAAATATTCTGTGTTCGAAACCTGGAAAGCGACGATATACCGGTTAATTTTCCTTTCGTTCACATTCATTTTTTTTTTGCTCTTTTGTTTCTTCACCTTTAATCGTGTTTTATTGTTGCTCCTTTTTGTTTGCTTAGGACGCCACTAAACGAAACAAAAACTGAAAAGCAGGAAACCAAAGTCTTAAGTCAGTGTTGTAAAAAAGGTGAAAAAAATGTTTATTTTTTCTCGTAGATGGCTGAACAACAACGGATTTCGAACATTTCCACATCCATCACTATCCTACGAGTTAAGACCTGCTTTAAAGTTTCTGTAAGTGTTCACGTTGTCATTAAAAAACATTTCGAAGGAGTCTGTTGAGAAAAATGATCAATAAATTGTCACCGGACCGATGGCGTAAAAAGTACCGCGTTTTGATTCCTTGGAGCTAGGCTTAAGACCAACTTTGTTATATTTTATAAAGGGGGGACGTTTCTAGGGAAACTGTGTTTCTACATATGCAAGGCGGTATAGCAAGATAATTTGGTTTTATCAACTGAGTTGATAATGTAAATTGGCCACCCAAGGAGTTTCTATAGCTGATGTTTCTTTTGCAGTGGCCAATTTACGTTATCAGCTCAGTTGATAAAACCAAATTAGTTTGTTATATTTCGTTGCACATTTTAATTGGCGAAAGGCCTTTTTCCAGAGCCTGTCAGTTCTGTAGCTCGACTAGGTTTCACCTAACTAACCATATTCTTAGGCATATGGAAAACAACGAAATCGAGTCGCTACCAAGTTACGATAAAGACGACTTCCCGCCTGACTTGGAAAATCTACATGCGTAAGTAGTATATCATAACCTCTTTTAAAAAGTAACTTTTTGAGCTTTAGACTCGACACTTGCTCTATCAGTGATGTTTTCAATTGCTTTCTAGTGTTCTCAAAGCGAAACACAAACCATTCGAGAACACACCGAACTTGGAAAAACTGTAAGTATGCTTCTTTGAGACTTGCGCACCTTCGTGTGTAGATTTCAGCGAAAAAAACTGCCTGGACGTATCGATGTCGAGTGGTTATTTGGCATTCATTAATCTAAGGGAATCCTGGCGAATGCAACGGAAGTAAACACACGATGAACAAGCCTCAGTTCAGAAGTTGCTGTATCGATTTAACAGGTTACTGGTATTAAAAACCAGTAAACAAACAACTAAGGAAATAGCGATGTCTGCATCTTTTTCACTTTAATTGTTGTCTTTGTTGTTGTCGTTGAGCTGCGATTGTTTTCGTTATGTTTAACTTGTTTCGACGCTGAAATAACTGCCTCTTCCAGGTTTCTTCATTCAAATCGCATTCTGCGCATTGCAGAAGATGACTTGTGGATGTTAAGCAAACTGAATGAACTGTGAGTTAATGATGTGAGATAAAGTTCAAACTAGTACAAATCCGCCAAATAATATTTTCCGAATATTTTCAGTGTTGACGTGATGGGACGTACCCATTAGGATCTTCCAGTAACTTCAATCTTATCATTCTTTGCATATGTAGTGCGAATTCTGGTTCATCGATGAAATTTTGAAACAATGATGATTATGAGTATGTTAATTAGATTTTGATTTACTCTATTTCCTTTATCTAATTACCAATTTTTTTCAATTTTTATTTAGTTTCTTGAGCGCTAATAAACTGGTGAATTCGAGTGTACATCCGAATGCTTTTAGGAATCTCACAAGATTAACAGTTTTGTAAGTAATTTGTGACTTTAATCAAATAACTCTGTAAAAAGTAGTAGGAACATTTAGAAAAAAAAATTGCAGGAGAATATCAGGCTAAATTTTAAATATTTAGTGTGAAACTGATACGAAACTCACCCTTCATTCCTTCCATATTTGAGTTTGCTGTACAAAACCTCATGTCATATGCATTTCTCCCTTTTTAGGCATCTTGATTGGAACAAGTTTCATTATGTTCCTTTTGCAATTCAAGGGAAAAGCCGACTTCCATCGATTGATAGATTGTAAGTTTACAAAATAACGTTTATCACGCGAAATTTTGCCGCTTATCATATTATTAATGAAGGGGGTATACCCTTCTTTTCATCAGAGATTTAAGGGGAAACAGCTTCACATACATTCTGAAGGGGACTTTTTCCGAGCTGGACACCATCAGATACCTGTAAGTATAGAGAGTTTATTTTTTCTTGGGAAGTGTGTTGTCCGTTTGCCTAGGAACTGAATTCTACGATTTTGATTTATTCCCTTAACTTACCGCTTAAGCCTTACAGTTAAGCTCCATTAATTTTTCCATCGACAGGCAAATGCAATACAACAAAATCGTCACCATAGAAAATGGTGCCTTCAATGGGAATATCAAGCAGATGTAAGTGTCTTCTATTACTCTTTTTTATGAAGGTGAAGTTAGAGAGACCTAAAGGATATAATTGATGAGGCAAAGCTGCTAGGTGATGAATAAACAGTGGAGAACAATCGTAAAACTCGTCGTCCATGTTTCCATCCAGTAACAGGGAGGCTTTGACTAGAAACATTTTTGGGAGCCACAGATCAGTATTTCCACGTTGTATTGTCCATAAGTGGTATGGACAAAATTTTGCACCATTCAAGGTTGATATTACGCATTGACATGTCCCAAAACTAAGAAGATTAGATCATGAACCAGATATTAATTAAATTGTAGATGTAGGACTATATGATGGCATTCCTATCCCATGCATTTAATAACTAGTGTTTCTTTACGTGTTTGAATTGCTTCCATTTTAGACATATGGAGGGAAATCGCTTTAACTTTAAACATGAGAATCAGTTCACAAACCTGACCAAACTGACTCAGTTGTAAGTGTCATGTAATCTTAGTACAAAAAATATTTAACTAAATCAAAACAAAGCTTGACTGCTTAGAAATACAAGACATAAGGACGATAAAAGTTTTAAGATGTGCTAAGGTAGATTTAGTATATTTAGAATAATTGAACCGTGAATCAATACATTCCTAACGTTTTTTTCCAACATATAAATATTATTTTTTGTTCCAGGGGGTTGAGGAAGAATCAAATCAATGCTATCCCAGACACAGCCTTTCATGGACTTACGAGTTTAACTTGGCTGTAAGTATAACAAGTTACTTTAAACATGCGACTGTAAGTTCACCACTCCTGAACTTGACCCTATGACCCTTGACCCTTCTTTATTTTTGTTGTGTTTTTTTTTTTGTGCGCGTTGTATAATTTGTGTTATTTGGTGTTTTATCTTTTACCTTGTTGGTTTACAACATCGCATGGGCGATTGCATTAAAAGAGTTATGTCGAATCACATAAGGTATAATACACCTAACAGAAGGGCGCTCTATCGCAATTTGGGAATTGGTTCTTGCAGTAATCGAAATCTTCCGTCTGTTTGCACAAAGTGCCACATAGCGATGTTTCGACACAAGATGGTTTACAAAGCGTACTTGTTCAATGCATTTCTCTTTTCAGTGACCTTGGTGAAAACCAAATCGGGCGTATCCTGAAGATTTCCTTCCGGGACCTTGTCAATGTGGCCACTTTGGATTTGGATCAAAACGAAATAGCACTCATTGAAGACGGAACTTTTGCAGGAGTAAAAAAGTTCAGTCGCCTGTAGGTGGATTGCCCAGAGCAATATAATTGTGTGTCGTAAAAAATCGGAATGTATTGCCTTTGCTTCACCACGCTCTGTGACTGGTTTACAAAGTTCGCGCCAGTCTCTCAACCAATCAAATGCAAAATTGAAACTAATCGAGGTTTAGTCGCGCAGGCAGTTGGTTGGTTTCTAGATCGAGCTCCTATTGGCTCCTAGTTACATAATCATTTCTTTTGATTGGTCTTATTTATTATCTCTAAATATCATTCAACTGAGAAATAATCGATTTTTAAGGCAGACAAAAACTAGAGATATGTGAGAATAAACCAAAAAGGTAATAATGATGGTTAAGGATGGCGGGGATTAGGATAGATGTCGGTTTATAGAATTGAAAAACATCTCTCAGTCTTCACCTAAGTACATTACATTTTACGGCTTATCGTATACACCCACCTTGAAATAGGCAGTATGTGGCTCGATGTTTTCTTTCGCTGGTCGTGCCTTAATCAACTGCAGAGGGGCTAATGCTCGAAACCTCAACTTTTTAAGCGCTTTACAGAGGCCTATTTACATCATCAAATCAATTGATAAAATCTTCGTAAAGGGAAGCTACTGTCAAACTTAGCAAAACCAAAAAAAAATATATGAGGACAGGTGACTGGAACATCACTCTCCTTCTTTCCCAGAAAACTCCAAGATAACCAGCTCACTTCTCTGCCAAATGGTGGCGACTTTCATAACAAACAGATGAATGACATGTAAGTAACATTATTTTTTCCCTCATTAACAAAATGCTCTACGCATATCTTGTGATCACGTCCTTGCTGATCAAATGATACCAGTTCGACGTTTTATTCTTCAGTAAATAGATTCTTCACACACTTTTACACTTTTATTTTTTATTTCTCACATATTAAAAGATAGCAAGATAGATAGCAAATGCTAATCGAGGCGGGTCAAATTTTTTTTTTTATTATTTTTCCATTTTTTTATTTTTGTACTGACTAAATTTAATTACACTGGAAATAAAACGGAAATGAAGAAATATAACATAAAAGGACAAAAAGATACACAAAAAAGGAAAATGCCAGATATTCATTGTAAAGGAGGAAAAGTCCTAGCGTTTTTAAGTTTACGAAAATTATTGTAGAACTGGTTCGATTTGATTTCATTTTGCTGTGTTTGACTTTTAGCATTATCTCATCAGGCTCCATATAAGAATCTTTAGTTTCTAGACTATTGAGAAGAGCTCTTTTTGTTTCTTTTTTGAAAGATTTCTTTGCCAAATTTTTGTATTCATTAGGCATCTCATTCCAGACTTTGACACCAACACGTGAAAAGGCTTTTTTTTCTGTATTTTAAGCCTAGAGTACTTAACGCTAAAGAGTTGTGACGTTGATGAGCGAGTATTATATGTATGGATGTTTGAAGTTCTCGTAAAAGTTTCGTGATGTTAGAGGGTGCACTATTATTATGAACATCGAGCATTAATTTAATACAGCTTCATTATATAAAAAGGTAATAGGAAGAATTTTCGCATTAACTAATAAGGGGATTGCATGTTCTTTTCTATCAACAAAGTAGATTAGACGTAATACTCGCTTTTGGAGCACACAAATTCTCAAATGGATAATAAATTAATGTTACGATTTAAATATGCTCGTTCTTCAATGGGCAAGACTGAGAGTGTATTTGTGTGTATTTCATCCTAATTTTTCAATTTCTTCAGAAACTTCTCAAAGAATAGAATAACATCGATCGCAAACGGAACCTTTGTAAACATCAGATGCATCAGCGGTGGCTGCGGTAATAGCAGAAGCAGTAGCGGGACCATATGGTAAGTGAGAGAGATAGTTGACTCAATAACGTAGATAAAGCCAAGACATGTTACGTTTCTGCAACACCGTTAACTTCGATGACCTTTTTTGACTCATCCAAGCCAATTTCTCCAAACTACAGTACTTTGCAATTGTATTCTAACTCGCCCGGCCTTTTTCTTATTTTTTCTGAGATTCATTTTCTCATTAAGTAATATGTTCATAAATCATTTTTTCTTGGAAAAATCGGTGGTCTCATAAAAGAAAAGTACGTGATAGAAAAAATGGACGCACTCCTCTGGATTGATCATGCAACTTACTAACTGTAACAACTGAATGCATGAGCTAGTCATTAATGAGACACACAATATGCTAGCTGGATTTCCCATTTCTACCTATCTGCACAGCCACGTTATGATCCGTTTTCCGTTCAATAGAGCCGCAAATAACAAAAATGTAACAACTCAAAACAAAAACCAAGAAATGAACTTTTAAAAGTTTAGTATTCTAACTAAAATTGTGAAACTTACCAATCCCTTAGGAAATTCCGAGAAAACGAAATAGTGTCAATTGACAGCGGAGCATTTCAATCATTTGATGGTAGTGCTTGTACTCTGTAAGTATAGAAGTACTTTGATATTATGCCAAGTCGACCCAGTATTTCTAGGGCTCAAGCTCATTACATGTACCAGGCTTAATAAATGTCATTGTGCCACATTATACGACGCTATCCATTGAACTATCTACCGACTCAATCCTCAGCCAGATGGCTCGGGGTTTCTTGCTTTTTCTTTCCTTAGAATAAATAGTTCAGCGATAGGCAACTGCCTTTAGTCTTTGCTATTCAGTTGCAATTTGAAATACTAGGATTAAAACAATCATGCGACACAGTCGACACGGTGGTAAAATCTATGGAAATTTCTCATAACCTAAAGGTCAATCTAGCATCCCCAGCCAATCCCATGACCTCTCCTTATACTCTTCGTTTTCCCAAGAATAATGGAAACTGACTAACCTATAGGCTTATTTAACACAGCGAGAGCGAAAGGTTACAGCGTTTTAGAATGGCCTTTATTCTCGCCACCATTGGTTTCTCATTTTATCTTTTCCTTCCTCGCATAGAGAATTTGGAGGGGCCAGCAAGAAATACAATTTGCTGAAAAGTGTCGATTCTGGCGCGTTTGATAATGTGCGTGCATGCTATATGTAAGTATTGCAGAAAGATTCTCATTTCTCGCTATTTTGTTGCCTTTTCTGTTTGATGATTGGTTTATTGCAGATATTAGACTTTTTATTTCACACAATTTTTGTTTAAGTCTTTTCTCTCTTTTTTTCCTTTCTTAGAGACCTTAGCAACTTAGAGTTGAAAAAGATTGCTTCTGAATCTTTCAGGGATGTTCGTGTTAGCTTTGATTTGTATGTATCATTAATTGAAACCTAAATGAACGAAATAGACTTCCTTTCATTTGTCAGTAGTGTCAATGGCCAATGATTTGCAAAAGAATCATTGATATTCTGGCAAGGTTGACTGATATATAAACAATAGTTTCCATTTGGCGCGATATTTGACTGATTATAAAGTCCAATTATTCCCGAGTTAAGACGAAGAGACAATAACTATTAGACAACACTCGCAGCTTTTCCTAACCATTTTGATTAAATATCGAGATCAGTGGTAGAGTCTTCTGAACATTAGTGCCTGGGTGGTAGAATACGATGATTGCATTAAAACACCAAGTCACGATCCTTGACTAACGAGAACACGAGCATCTCCATAATGACTCGAATATGCCAGTTATGATTAAATTTCGATACGTAAATATATTTAAATCTAATCCTTCCCTGAAAAAAAAGATAGGACAGCTCATTTAATATGAAATATCGACACAAGCTACTGTCGCTAAGGTATTTATTAATCCTTTTTACCTCCATAGAGAAATGAATGACAACGAGATACGAACTGTTGAAGAAAACGCCTTTCTAAGATTTAACGTCAGACACTTGTAAGAATCATATTGTGGATCAACTGTTTAGCAAAATTAACTAATTTATTCAGCAAATGTAATTTTTGCTTACAATGAACTTGGTATATGTTTTTCTTTACGATAGGATGCTTCAAAACAATGCTATCCAAGCAATCACAGAGAAGATGTTTGGAGACAGTGGTTCCACAATAAGAGCAATACTGTAAGGTCCATCACGGCAGGTGTAGCAAGGTTCATTGGTAGAATCACCCTGACCAAAATTCGCATAAATAAGTTTCTCTCAAAAGGACTCACCTTTTTTGCGAAATTTCTGCCCTTAAATAGCGGTAAATGGAGAATCTCTGAAATCTAAATGACGTGCTTGGCATAATTTATGCTTGCATAAACGATCATCAAAGCTGTCAATGGCAAAGTCAAATTCTTTTCAGGCTTAAAATAAATAAATAAATGGTTTTAAGGGAGTTCTACTAATAAAACTATTACACAATTCTTCGATATGGCGCGTCTTTCCTAATTACACCTCTTAAAGACTCAAGTTTCGACGGTAGAAAGCTAAGCCTTGTATGTTAAAAAGGCCCTATATTCCACTAAGTTAAATCTCTCCGGAACAAGTTTTCGCTCTGAACGTGCTGTCTGGTGATGATAATAAGTTATATAATAAGCTCAGTTATGCACGCATTCTGATTGGTTTTCACTTATGATCTTTTGGAGGACAGACGTATAGATGACGTCATCATTAAAACTTTTTTTTCCGTATATTTTAAATTCTTTATTATATAAAACAAATAGATTCCAAGTTGCCGTGCGTCTCTTCAGTGATAGATCACAGATGACGCACGGCAACTTGGAATCTATTTGTTAAATATGCTGGACTAGGACACCTGAGAATGCAGGGAAACATGCACCCCAAATATTGTTCTTTGCCACTCAGAAGCTCAAGTAACGCTTCGGTTTGTTCTTAGGGATCTCTCTCACAACGAAATCCAAACCCTTCACGAGGATTCACTTAAAGGAGTCAAAGTCAATGGGCAAATGTAAGTGTTCGAGGAAGCCACCTACATTTACTGTTTGGCATAAACTACTTCTATATGTACATACATGTTTCTTTTAACTTAACCAAATAGGAACCGATTCAAACCTCGAACAATGCGTGGATCCTTTTCATCTATTTTGCTTGTTCTTACAGACGGCTCAGAAACAACAAGTTAGTTATGTTTCCAGCAAAGGCTTTGGAGAAACAAGACCCAAGGGTCCTGTGAGTTCGCCCTTTTATAACCTAATATGATAACTTGTTTGAAAGAAAATGCATTACCTTTGACATCTCTGGAAGAAACTCTGTTCGAACCTGAAAACTTGAAAATTTCGAGGTAGTCGCACAACTTAGTTTGCTGTTTCAGATATTGTATCCCTCTTTCATTTTCACATTTACTGTCATCATTTAGCTCTATCCATCCATCCATCCTTCTTTCAATTATGTAGTGAACAATAAAATGTTAATTTATTTATTTGTTCCTATGATTCAATCATTCTCAGAGAACTGCGCCATAACCAGATTCCATCCATTCCCGTTGGTTGGTTAGATCCATTTCAAAACCTCCGACATTTGTAAGCATTTAATTCAGTTTGACTTCCCGTTGTGACGACTAATTACTGTTCAAATCAAAGATGGCATGCACTAATTGATTTTCTCTTCTTTATTTGGGTCCATTGCTGTTTAGTTATTAGTTTTTTTGTCCGAAACCATTTAAGTGGCGAGAACAATGATGAAGTTAAATATCATTACCGTAGTTAAGTCATCTGGTGAAATCATGCAAGCAAAACGTGAGGTAAATTCTTTGTTTGTTGTTTTTTTAGGTTTCTACCGGACAACAATATTGTTTCCGTGGAGGCTAACGTCTTTAGCAAGCTAAAGAACCTCGAAATATTGTAAGTATTTGTCATCTGCAGTTGTCGATGCTTTGGGGAGTCGCCTAAGCCTAACTAGAGCTATCGTATTACAGCTCCATGCCAAAACGCGTGGAGTGGTTTCATTGAAAAAGAGGAAGGTAATTCAGTGAAGAAATATCATAGAGGCATCCAATTGCCGACCTCACGTAACTGTTTTATCATTTAAGAGAACTTCAAGACAATAAAATTAGCGTGATTGAACCAGGAGCATTCAATGGCCTCGACAGTGTGAAAAGATTGTAAGTAATAACATAGCCGCATAAGTGTTACTGTACTGAGTATTACTTTATACGTGCGTCTTGTTCTCACTACCTAGCATTTAATTATCACCACCTGAGCTGGATTAGCCGTAAGTTTTATTTTCCTCATGTTCGTTCATTACGTACAAACATCGTCGACCTCTTACGATGACAATTTTCGTCTTCGCAGGTACTTATATGACAACCAGATTGAATTTTTACCTACATTCCCTGCGATGAAGCTTCTTGATGATTTGTAAGTTATTCTGTATAGATAGCATAAATACCAGAAACGATAATAATAAAAGTGACAAAAAAATAACAGACTGAGCTACACAGCCTAGTCCACGCCCGCAGCTTCCGCTTAGGATAATTCCCCTGACCTTTGCGATACCGGTGCAGATCTCTACCAACTGAGCTTACAAGCCAACTGGGAGCTGGTCATATTTTGGTTCATAAGAAACCCATCTAGTGATCAATAAATGACGACTAAAATGTGAAACCATGTGTGTGAACTGCGGATTAATAAATGAGAGGTCATAGGTTCAACTCTGAAAGTAGTCTTCATTACCACAAAGATCACTCTCATTTTAAAGAGCCTTTCGCCACTTATAACGTAAGCTTTGGCTACTGACTATTTATTGCGTATTTCAATTTCCCGCAGATCTCTAAAAAATAATCTTATAGAGAACATCGGGCAGGACTGCTTCTCTAAACTTCCCAATTTACAAACACTGTAAGTAGCTACACAGCTGAAAATGTTGAAGTTACTGTCGTGAGTAATGTTACCCTGTGCCCCTCTGTTAGTGGACCAAGGATATCATTTTTCAAATTATTAATCAATACTTTTTACTAATATCGAACGATAATTTATTGATTTCATTTCAGTAATCTTGCAACGAACCCGTTGGCTTGTGACTGTAATGTTTATAACTCTCTTACTCCGGTTATAAACACTCTCACTTCTACAAAAGCTGCTCTCTGCCGATCACCTTCTCAAGTAGCAGGAGCCAAATTCTACCCGAAGGGATCATATGAGAGCTTTTATCGCCAGCGATTTCTCTGCAGTAAGATATCTAAATCATAAAGTCCTTGGTAGCAATTTTTGGGGAATAGAGCGAGAGATCGTTCGCGGAAATGTTTTTTCTTCTTCTTTGTAAGCATAGAAATGCCTGGTAAGCAATGTAAATAGTTATTTTCAAAACTTAAGTGAGAAAGACTCGATGAAATGAACTTCCTTAGTTTTCCGTGGAATATCAAAAAATTTTTCTTTTCGATCATCGGCCCTTGCATAATAGACTATGGCCGATAACGGGCAAACCGAATAGGTTATATTTCACCTCATGTGATTTCATATTACATTTCGCTTTGTCCAATGAACGATAAATATGTTGGCAAAGTTCTGAATCCTTGAGGATCAAGACAGAATTTACACACCTAGCAAGACGCCATAACCTAGGGTTGAACTCCAGATCGAAAGGTCTTTAATTGAGCCCTAGCCAAAATTGTTTGAGGTGCTCACAGAACGATATTTCACTCTCGCTATACATCCCTCCATCTGCGATTAAGGAATTGGTACCAACGAACTGTCAGCAAAAACTGTTGAACGCCTTCTGGTGGGAGGATATACAATGGAGAAGTTTCTAATTCATGAGAGTGACATTACTCGCAGTCGCGTAGTGCAATGGAAATCGGCTTCAATTTTGTTCGAGACTTATCGACATAGTATCTTATTTGCCCCTGTTCATTGGAATTCTGTATTTGATTAGTTTCCTCACCGTTTTATCTTATAGATCCCGTTAACGTATCAGCATCAGCCCCTGGTGACTATCAATTGAACGTCACGTGGGACAGGCCGCAGGAACTTCACTCGTTTATCAACTTTACAAAGAACACCACAACACTGAGCACGTGGGATGCTGTCAAGGTGATATCATTAATTATAACATATTTCCACTCCTCCATGCGCCTGATATAGTTTTTAACCTTTTCTTGATACCCTAAGAGTTTCAAATTTCATGCACTTTTTCTCTTTAAGTAATTGCTATACTTAGTTGGGTTATTTTTGTTAACGACAAATTAAAGTATAATTTAGAAAACTCTGTTGTATTTTTTTGTATAGACACTAATAATAATCGTGGATTAGTAAAGTGCTTTCAATCCAGACCAGGAATGGATATTTTTGTCCCGGTGTAACAAAATTCAGTGTTGAATTAAAAGTGCGAACATCGCATGCCAGCTTGGCTCACAATTCTGATTTGTAGTAACTCGTTGCTTTCAATCAAATGGTTGCGACTTATCTGCCTTATCTTCACATGGCATCCGGACCATCCGTTTATTTTTCTAGCATCGAACTTTATTAACTTGTGAGAGAGTCCTAATTTAATAGTTGTGTTTGGTCGTTTTAGATTCAAAGTGTGAAGTATTCGGTCACTTGTTTAAGTGACGATGCTCCGACTTTGACGGGCACTTCGACGAAAAAGTTCCTCCTGTTTACTCAAGCGGACGGCGTACGAGCTGGGACCGATTACACCTGTCATGTGACTATGACTGTATCTGCTCACAATGGCACTTATTTAGGAGGGGGTCCCTTGGGAGCCTTGTGGACCAGGACGACACCAAAAAGCGAAAAAGTCTCGATAACAACAGTAGAGGGCAAAGGTGGGCTAGTTAGTGACGTTTGGTATACTGGTTTTGTAGCACCTGTACTTCAAGGTTACATTTTCATAACTTAACTTTTAAATGGCTAAGGAACAGATTTAAACAGACTAAGACAAAACATAAAGATCCAGGTAAAGTGTCTTTAAGCAAATCAAAAACCAAACCATGGCTCAATTAAAATTGTAATTTGCCAATACATGAACTGAAAAACTTCATGAAACCTACTCAACTGGAGATTACCCCATGCATATGTTGATCATGATAATATCTTTGGTTTACCCATCTTCCACCGATGGTGATGAATTAAAAGTAACTTTAAAGATGCTGACCAGTATTAACCTCTTCCTTGTACCTTCGACCATGTTCAACACTAATCAATTATGTGAAGATTAACCAATGGCCCGCCACAAGTTTTTCAGGCTTCGTTTCATCTCTACACTTTCAGCTCCGGTGACCAACACGACGGCCAACAAGACTAATTACCTCTTAGATGTTACATTCTATGACTTCAGGTAATGAATAAATCAATATTGTACTTTGGAAATTGGTCTAAGGTTAGCGTATTTGAACCTAGCTTAAATAGAGGGCTCGATTATTGAAAGGGCCCTTTACTTTCTACTCCTCGATGATGAAATTTTGATATATTATGTCTCCCAAACAGAAATGATATTTTCCCTTACTTTATTAGCGAATAATTTTTTTAGTAAGTCCTTAGCTCAGTTACAAACCTCGCTTGATTCTTTTTATTTAATGTTATCTCATTACTTTCATTCAGCTATGATATTTTATGTAATTGAGTAACAAAATTAATTCACTGAAATATGCATACATATTTGGGATTTTGTATCTTTTATAACAGAGCTGCTGATGGTGATTTCGTTGGGATCCCTGATAATTACCGTGAGATTTACAACAATCCAAGATATATTGCGAGCCCATATGGCAGCTGGTTAGCCATATCTTTTGATCCAACCAGAGACAGTTTCTCAGACTGGTTTAGATCCGAGTCATTAAGAAACCGACATTACGAGGGAAACTTGGAATTGAAAAAACAGTGGGAGACAGACTCAAATGGCAACTCAGTGTTTAGGTATTTCAACGACAAGTTCTTCCCAGTCGATGGCCGCGGATGGGGTGCTGAAGGTCAGCGGGACTGCCACACCAATGCTCTCAGGAACTATGGGTAGGTGGCGTATTGATGCGTAGTGTCGCCAAATATTTTATCGAGTAATTCTAAAATTGGCTGAGCCCGCGTGTTTTCAATCACAAGTGTGTTGATTGTTTATTTACATCAGCTATAATATATTTATTCACCATTTTCATTTTGGTATACCTCGCTACCAGGAAGACTCGCCTTCAATATGTAATCGATCTCGCAACCAAGGCACCTTAATTCGCCACCAAGTAATAAAAGGTTGTTCAACTTGCCCGGGTATTTCCTTTGTAAGTCGAGTTAGACTGGCTTGAGTTGACGTGTCATTTTAGAATACTGAACTGATTCCACCCGGGACACTCGCAGTCAAAACTATAACCCAAAGAAATAACAACGACTTGACCTCTGTCGTGTCAGTTCTTTTTTGAGAGAAATAAGTACACTTTACCACTTTTTTAGAACAAAACACTTGACATTTCTCCTAGATTCACAGCTGCGATTCGTTCAACCTTTAACTTCACGGGTCAAGAAAATATGGCTTTTGCAGGTGGTGAAGAGTTGTGGGTTTTCATTAATGGTTATCTGGCATTACAAGTTTTCCACAATCCTCTTAACGGGACAATTCCGTGCGCGACAATCTATCTATCCCCCGCTAAGGAAGGTACATAGAATGCCTTAGATCTTTTAACAAATACGTTGACGTCGAAAGGTCATAGGTCAGATCCTACATTTCTCAACTATTGAGGTTATACTTGTGCTTTTATCGCTCATGTTGCTTTAAACAGTTTTTCATTTTATATTATCGATATTACATTTGCTGACCTGAAACTAACCATAGCTACTCTAAGGTGGGTCAATATTTAGGATTAAAACAACTTACGAACTATCTTTCTCCTCTAAAGCTCTTCTCTACTTTTTCAATTCAGAGCGTTTCATTCGCATACTTCGTTAGAACATACTACACCTTTATCCTAACTTCAATCAAAGCTGTCATTTTGTCTTAAAGGGAAAAGCGAGGTTGTTCCAAAACACGGAGTCATTGTCGGCGACAAGTGTCAAGAGTCAGGATATCTCACACCACAAGCTTTAAATATGACATTAAGAGTAAGTTAGCAGGAACAATCAGTGCGCTTGTCATTTTTATTATACACAATAAAGCGATGGACAGCTTGTAATATCTTCAAAAAGACTTCAATTTAACTTCACTCCCGTGACGTTGTGTTTTTTTCCGCCATTTTAGGTAGGCGAGCCTTACCGTCTGGAAGTGTTCGTGGCTGAACGATTCAAATGTGACTCCAATCTCTTTTTTCAAACCAGCGGAGTTCAGTTCATTCGACGATGGGATATGACTCTTCCTGTTGGTTACATGTCTGATATCAGTGAGAATCTGCATGTTGGTGGTTTGGTTCAGGTATTGTGTTGTTACATTCACCCATTTACCAACATAAGGGTAGAATTTGCACTCCATATGATCGATTTGAACCATAGATAAATAAATCCTCTTTGGACTTTTCTTGTTTGCGAGAGGTTAAGAACTTGAAACAGTGCCATATCTTTTTTCTACACACAGGAGTTTCAAGTGTCCGATGCCTTTTCTGCTGGACCGTACAAGGTGGAAATTATGTCCGGAAATGAGCAACGCAGATTTGACGTCAAAGAAGGAACGTTCATCCCACCGTCCCCTCCAACTATAGCAGAACCTCCTTCGTTTGTATTAGACAATGAGACAATCTACTTATGTCCAAATGCAACTGCAAATGTCACTGTTCGACCTATCACCAGGGCTCCTCCAGGTTTGTATTGACTAGAAGTAGAACAATTCTACGACGGTCAACTTGGTGAGAGAGAGAATTTGCCACATAAAGAGATGGCCGTCATGGAGAAGTAGTCGTGCGATGTGGCATCTGCTCTTTTGGGCGGTCCAAGCGGCAAATTTATCTCGTACAAAATGCCTTTTGTGGAATAAAAACGCACACAATCCAAATGATCGTTAGTATTGCAAAATTTTACTTTATTTTCGGTAGGGGTTGTGTTCTTGAACGAGCTTGTACACTGAAGCCATTAGGCGTTCACTATGATAGTTAAAAGAGGCCATATTTTTTGGATGTGACCGTTAATGTAGTTTCAACTGTACCTTAATTCAGGTTGCAACTAAATCAGGTCTATCTCTTCTCTTAAGTTGACGTTTTATCAAATTTAAGAGGCAAAATGAACACGTAGGGTGTGGTTTCACATAGGCCTCTTACCACTACTTATGAGTTTTGATATTTTTGTTCATCGTAGGAATCGAGACGTTTACTATAAACAGTTCGACTGCTCAGTTGATTCTTAACTCCCCATTGGACTACGAGCATACAACAAGTTACTTATTGACCTTGAGAATCACAGATACGGGAAAGTTAGAAGAACCCTCTGGAAATATCACGATCAGGGTAAATAGGAAATTTTTAGACTTTTGTAATATTACTTTCGAACTATTCAACGATCGCGTTGAGATTATTGTTTAATAATCCCTTGGACTTTCGTACCGTATTCACTGAGGCTGAAGCAAATAATTATTTTACTTTGATTGCCTAGATGCTTTCGAATTCTTTTCTAAATTCTGTAAAAAAAAGAAATAATTGCGCATATTTTGTAACAATTCTGTTGATAACTCGTGTTAAGATAAGCAAGCAATTTTAACATATTTATTTAATTCAATCTGAAAATGCTTCACATCTTTCCTTTGAAAAGTGTTCAGCCAACTCGCTAATATCTTTTGAGCTTTTGCAATTGAATTGAATTTTTTCCTATTACGTTTATCACTTACTTGGAAACATTGAAAGGACGCGTAGCAGCCACTTTGAAATTTAGTACTCCTTCTGCTATAATCACCTCGCGCGAGGTGAATATAATGAGATATGACCGATCAAAGTGCTTGCATCTCTATGATCACCTAAACAATTATACTAAACGTATTTAAATAAAGAAGCTGTATGCATGCGGAAAATAATTTAAGTAAGATACTGTTTTACATGGCTGCACAGATAACTCATGGCGAACATTGGAGCAAAGAGAAGCAAAGAGGTAAAAAAAGGTGTTAAGAGAGAAATCCAATGTAGAGAAGGATGATTTTCGTCTTGTCAAGAAAAGACAAAAATATTTTGAGTAACCACGTGAAATCGTATCTCAGATATCTGAATTCCGCACTGCGATCCTCCGCCACAGGGCCACAGAGACTCTGCTGTGAGTTAGGCTATGTTTTGGCTCATGTATCACACACGTTCTGCTAGGATAAGCAATTTTGAGAACTTCGTGTACGAAAATAAAGTAAGAAAGGGAGTACATGTGTTTTCCTCTTTAGGTTTTCGTTTTGGACCACAACGATCACTGCCCGGTATTGCCAAATGTCAATTACGACCTTAAACCTATCCCTCCTCTTCAAAGGGCAGCATTCTTTGTTGCCATGGCACAAGATGGAGACAGTGGAACCAACGGACAGATTACATACAAGAGAAGTCACATCCTGGAAGCAATGTAAGTGAGGAAATCATTTTAAACTGAACGGCATTAAGTTTTTCGCTCCATGGTTATTCTACGAGTCAACAATTGCGAGATACAAATGGCTGGAAAGGTGTCTTATTTCAAGGTAAAATATCGAGAAACAATTTAAAATAAAAGGAGTGTCCAGGTCAAATGTCTTCCATCGGCTAGAAAAGAATAGAAGCCCAGAGCTTAAGCCTTTTGACAAACTAGGTGGTTAGCATTGTGTCCCGATTCGATCTTCTGACGCCCTGAAAATTGATGAACACGACGAAAAGCTCAAATATCTTGACTTGTGAAACAGGATTCTACATTCCTACCACCCCTTCCATGCTTGACATACAAATAATTTAGTCACACGAAATTGTTAACTCATCTTCGCAAGAGGGTAAGGCAGGAAAAATGCACCGATAGCAGCCTTTTGCATCATTCTTGACTATGTATCATCAACGGCTTATTGATATTATTTTGATTTACTGTTCGTTTTTTTTATTTCACAAAGACCTCGAGTTGAGGCCACGCGGTTTGCAATCAAGAATGGCTCGGCATATATTTGGAGTAACAAAACTATCGAGTGGACCTACAAATATTTCATATTTGCTGTGGACGGAGGAACTCCAAAACGAGGAGACAGAATACCGCTGACCATAACATTCAATGCTACGTGCCAAGAAACTGGCGGGATTTTTGTTAATGCAACGAGTGGCCAAGTATTCTTCAGGGCGCCGGGAATGACGCGATCAGAGTATCGTGAGTTACAATATCATAACAGTATTTTCGACTGTTATTTGGAAACTTGCTCTACGCCGCCACCCTCTAAACTAAGGGCTTTTTAGTGGCCTTTAGTGTTCAACCTGGTTGAAGTCCGCTACGCATGTCCAGTCTGATTTTTCGTAGACACCTTGTGATTCTTTTCTTTTTTCCTGATCGGCTGTTTTGCTATGATATGCTATGATCATAGATTGTGTCTCAAGATCTCAAGCATTCTGAATGACTTCTCTTTTCCGTCAAATTAGTTAAATCGTTCTTATGTTTGCATTTAACACGGTCATTGTTGCTTTTTGTTATAAAAATGCCACTAAATTAAGCCTTTAAATTAAGACTTTGAAAAATCTCGCCCTTTTCTCTTTTCAGCAAGAAATTCAACCACGAAACCGAAGTGCCGACGCTGTAGAACTGGGTACTACTGTGTTGGTGATGGAACCGAGGAAAAGTGTGGAGTAAAGTCGCCGACGGAATTTTCGTTTGGAGGAGCAACAAATTGTAGTTCATGTTGGGAAGGCTGGGTAAGAATGAAATCACAACTTTTATGCTTGTAATAGACGATAAAAGATCGAGCAGGAAAATAAATCACGTCTTATCATTAAATAACAACCTTCAATGCAACCTTTCGATATCTTGAGTTGTACACCACAATAGAAAACAAGGGTATGGAGAAATGAGATTAACCCAGTGAAATGTGAGGTTGGAAGATTTAAGCAAAGCTTCTTAGTATTAACAGGCCGCCAAGGTGATCAATCTTCTCGGATACATACGTTTGTCATTTCTGAAGTGCTCATTCTTTATAATCTATTTTTTCCAGTTATGCCACAACGGTAGTGCGTTACCCTGCCCACCAAACACTTATGTCAAATGCAACGAAACGGTAAGTCTAGCACACTGCATCAAATGATATCAGAGCAAGTGGTCACCTTCCTTAACGAGAGGGGTATTGCGTGCGTCCCCTTATCCTTTAAAATAGTGTAAGACAGTGCTAACCTGATCTACACAAATTTATGCGGTGACAAGCTGCTCAGGATGGTTGTGAATAAATATAATGTACAATGTTCGAGTTAGAAATTCCCACACTTTCTTGAAAAATGTTGCAAGGTGCCAAACGTTTCCAACAATAATATTTTTCCAAATAGCTAGACGAAGAAATCATCCTAAGATTGAAGGCTTTGTTCGTACGCTGGCTCAGGTATAGGTTATATCGAAAATGTCCGTAGTATAACTCAGTGGTTGAGGATAATCGGGAAAGTTCATCGAAAATATCATGCTATCTCTCCAATTTTAGTCGTGTCCAGAAAAGTGCTACCCCTGTGAGCCTGGCACAGTTTGTAAAGCAGGAAGACAGTACGAGTGTCGACCCGGGACATACAGTGATGGAACAGGTGGGCTTAGTGATTCCGGTGTAAATCATATACTGCTGAAACGCAAGAAAATTGCAATTCATTTGATATTTGGAAATTTGATTTTGTTGGTGTCGTTGTTGCTGTTATTGATGTCTAAGTGTGAATTTTTTCCCTTTCTTTCGCCTTTTTTTAATCAGAGGATGTAACTTTCTTCATTTGTCAGGATTTCCTTGTAAGCTATGCCCTCCAGGAAGCTACAACAACAAAACGCGGGCAGAAACTTGTTACTGCTGCCCTCCTGGCTACAGCAGCACTTACATGAAGACATCCTGTCGAGCGTGCCCTGCTAATGAATACGCTGATCAGGGAAACTTTCCAAATTGCACACTATGCAGGTCCTGCTTCACAAAAGATTCGTGTAAGTTGAACAGAGTGTTACCGTGATCTTTTTTGATAACTAACTTTTATTGTTCTACTTTAAAGAAGAGTATCGATCGGTTCCTTGTATGTGACTGAGATTTGACGGCCTACATACCTGGTTGGAGCTGTTTCCAAACGCAAATCTCCTTTTTGTTTTTTTCTGTTTTGTTTTATTTTCAGGTTGCGGTGTTTTTTTCTTTTTTTTTTCAGTAGTTCGTGTAGCTAAGCAACGCATTATAAAGGGTGGAGAGGCTAAAGAGACCTCATTTAAATCATATTGCTGTGTGGTTTTAAACTGTCCTCCACGCACCTAAATCTTGTTGAACGACGAAAAACTCAAGTCATTTAAGCTCAGGGCACATCATGTGCGATCTCAAAAAGTGGATGTAACGTTTCGTAGCAGTTGCTTGAAATTGGCTCGGCTCTCTTTTTATCATTATTAAAGGATACGAATTCAAGGTCTTTACGAGCAGCTAGTATTTATATTATTTTTCAATAACAGTTCCTGTGGTGTTGATTGCAAATAGGCGCCGAACTTAGTGTTGATTATGTATTGTTAACTTGCGAAGAATCTCTTGTGGTCATCTTTCACTAGGTAATGTCATGCAGTATAGACATACTTAGTTGTCCATGTTTTTAGGTTAGGTCAAGTTAAGTAAGTAGTTAGTAAGTAAGTAGTCGTGCATCTAGCGATTAAAGCTTTTCCACGTTCTTTAAAAACGTTGTTCTTTGCTTAAACACAACAGGTCCATGTTTGGGAGACCCTTGCTACCCGTCAGTAGACTGTCACAACGTTGGAAATGGGTCATTCGTTTGCGAATCATGCCCAGATGGATTTGAAGGAGACGGAGAGACGTGCACTGATATCAACGAGGTAAGTCGGCAACACTGGACTAATGCTGGCAGGTTGATTAATATGAGAAAGTGAAGCTATCTCCCACTCATACACCATTTGAGATCTATCCGGTCACGTATATTAACGCACTGCCCGGCTATCTGGGTACATCAAATTGTTAAATGATATCCCTACCAAAAATTCTGCGTATTCTTCACAAATTAAACTTGATATGAATACCCCCCAGAAATTAGAATACATATCTGCTTTGTTTAGTGTGTCCTGGCAAACCCATGTTACAAGCCTAATGAGTGTGTGAACCTTTCTCCGGGGTACCGCTGCGGAGGATGTCCAAACGGTTACCGCGGCAATGCTCCATCAGGAGTGGGCCTTGAGCACGCGCAGAAGTACAAGCAGAAGTGTGAAGAAATCGACGAGTGTAGCGAAGGAATTGACACATGTGATCCGAACTCAAACTGTATTAACACATTGGTAGGTGTGAAATGAATGGTAAGGATTAGCTTTTTATGAAAAATTGCGGCCTTTTTCTTTCGATGAGTTGGCTTCTCACGAGCGGTTCTTCCCATCCCTCCTTCTATATAACATTTTCTTAGATATGTTAACCATGCATTCCATCAACGTATACGGTAAATATGCAAAAGCTGTGTTACGCACACTCAAGAACTGAATAACATTAGGATTGACATTGGGTTCAGAACTTTTTTAAGGAACTCATCGTTTTTCATCGTGGTGAGGAGAAAATATGAATGGCTAAAAGAAAAACGATATTCAACACTATTAACCTATTACTCCCTAACACCAGTATGCATATTCTCCATACTACTCTCTAGGGTTCTGACAAGGAGAATTTATTCAACAATCAAGAGCTTCTTTAGTTGGTGATCATCTCCTTTATTCTCATGGCCTAAATGTTTGACTTAGGGGTGATGTTGTAAGGAGAAATTAGATGTTAGTCACTCTTAGGGGTTTAAGGGTTAAGCTTTTCTAAGGGAAACACCTTTCGCCGAAGAAAAGATGAGTAAAGTGCTCGTTAGAAATATAAGAATCCTCTGTGGTACACGAAGGACCAGTTGTCAACAGATTTGAACCCACACAATTAAAATTGCAACATGAAAAAAAATGTTTGAATGACTTTCTCAGGGTAGTTTCAAATGCAGCCCATGTAAACCAGGATTTATTGGGGATGGTTATCTTGGCTGTTATCCCGGTGACCTGTGCACCAGCTCGCAACATACCTGTCAAGCGAATGCGCAGTGTACATCGACTGGAGCAGGAAGATACAAGTGTACGGTATGAAAATTGCAGATATAAAGTTGTTGGATTAAGGCCAAATTACGCTCAGTGAAGAGCGTGGAGGTACCGAAACTTTACTGATAAAAAAGTGAAACTGTTTTAAGAAATAAGTGATCAGATTTTTCAGTTGCCTCTCTCTGCATCTTCATTTTTATTTAAAAAACGATGATTTATCAAATTACAACGCTAAACTGGCGAATTAATTTTAAAGACTACCATCCGAAACACAAAACCACCTTAAACTCTAATGGGGGCTTCAAAATATGCCGATGAACTTGATAGGAGTTGTAACGAAATTGAAAAATGTTAAAGAATAATATTAACATATAAAATTAACATAAGATGTACAATCTTTGAGGCAGCTATTAGAGGAAGAATTTGTTAAAGCCAGAATTGCAGTGAGATTGATAAGAGTTATGGTTTTTCAAATGTTCAGTTGAGGTTACAATCTTTGCTTCATTTTCACGCAGTGTAAAGGAGGTTTCGCAGGTGATGGAGAAGAGTGTGAGGTCGATCCCGATTTGGATGACATTCCCGTCAAAGGATTGAGTTGTACCTTACCTAACTGCAGAAAGGTTTGTTTTTGACTTTATTTGTTTGAAATGCTTACAGCGCTATTTTAAGGTTTTCTGTTAACCCGGTGCCGATCCCATCCTTCAAAACCAGTCTCGATCCTTTGAAAGGCATTCTTCCGTCTTACGTGAATATTTTACTTTTTCCATCGTCTAACCAGATGATCCCTTTTTTCATTGGATCAGTTATTTGATATCTACCTTGCAGGATAATTGTCCAAGTGTACCGAATACGGGCCAAGAAGACAATGATGGTGACACGGACGGTGATGCTTGTGATGAAGACGACGATAACGATTTGGTTCCTGATAATAAGGTTACAAATGTTACACTGAATCAATTTTAATCTTATTTACTTAATCTCAATACCAGACGCTTTCGACATTGCCTTTCTTAGCATTATGCCGGAAGCTTGCCACACGTGAGTGGCCTTTTCAATTTCCGTGCCAAGTGATAAGTTCTCGTCAGTTCCGATAACGAAAAACCTGATCGTAAAATCGGAGAACCATCGTTGTTGAACCATCATTGTTGAACCATCTTTTTTTTCTTCCATCATAGGATAACTGTGTTTTTGTGGATAATCTTGACCAAATAGACACTGATAAGGATGGCGTGGGGGACAAATGTGATAACTGTGTGGCTGATCATAACCCAGACCAGACAGACACTGACGGGGATGGTGATGGAGACGCGTGTGATGATGATCAAGATGGAGATGGTAAATATCAGCAGGACCGTTTACTATGATAGCAAAGTAAGAACTTGATGAAATTAAAAAAGCTCTATCAAGAGCCGATCGCTAGCACTCTACTGGTAATAAAGGGAAATGCCCGAATGTTCGATTATCATAACTTTTCACTTTTTTTTTTGACAACGAATAGCTCACAGGGCAGTTAACTCTTAGCTACGGCCTTGAAGTAGGACTATCGCTTCACAAAAATTATCATAGGATGTTCAAGTTCATCGTTTGCAATCTCTACCATGTATCTTTGAAGTTTTTCTTTTTCTCTGTTTATCTTATTTCTTGGTTAATTATTTTCTTAATTTATTTTTCCTTTCCTGCTCAGAACTTGAACTTGAGTTCTTGAACTTAAGAGATATCAATTTGATAAGCTCTCAAAAACTATATCTACATGTTGTGCATTGGCTCTGAGGTTAGTGGTTCTAAAAGAAATGATGGCGCATTCTTATTTATATCCCACGAAACCAGGAAAATTGAATCCAAACGACACGTGCCCCAGGTTAAACGCTATTGGCGACCATGTTGATGATGATGGGGACGGTGTGGGTAACCTGTGTGACAACTGCCCAAAAAACTACAACGCTTTGCAGAATGGAAAGCAGGTATGCCCAGAAAGACCTTTTGCAGGACACTCAGGCCCTAGACTATTGAAATCGATTCATTTTTGAATGGGATCATGATCATTCCACACTTTCACGTTTTGCGTAAGTCTCCACTGAACGATAGCTAAGCGGACTTTCTGGCTTAAACTTGTTCTGAATTACTTAATCGCTGATATTTACATCTACATTATCAAGCCAGCAGAACTCTTTTATTTTAACAGTATTCAACCCATAGAGACGAATAAACAATGCAATTCGTCTCATTTGCATGCCGCAGTAATACAAGCTGGGTTTGAAGCTCAACTCTTCCCTTAATAAGAACCGAAATATTACGTTGAATTCTCTGTTTCTTGTGTGATTTCTTGGTCATACCTACATTTTATGTTGTCAATGTGTTCTTCGGTCTTGTTCTCTCGCTATATTTTGTAGTCTCAAGGTATAACTATACTTGTGCTTGATTTCATCTCTTAGCCGGACAGTAACGAGAACGGGTACGGAGATGTCTGCGATGGACCTGGAAAAGACAAGTAAGAGACTAAAGAAAGACAAAATAATAATGATAAACGATACATGCCCGATAAACCTCCACCGGATATCTAGTGGTGGAGTTGAAGCACAGAAACTATTAAGTGCGACACGCTTCTTACATATAAGGGTTTGTTTTCAGGGATGGCGATGGAGTTCTTGACGAGTTTGACAACTGCCCTGATTTACCAAATGGCGAACAAGGAGATGCAGAGGATGACAAGATAGGTGAGAACACACAATATGTTTGAAGAGTTCAATATTCTTATGGCAAAGCGAGGAGCTAAGAAATTATTAGAAAGTGTACAATGCCGCTGAGATCGTGATCTCCTAAAAATTGTCCTAAAAAAATGAGATGCTTGTTCGGAATAAATGACTCGCGTGTGTCTGAATTTCTAATTCTAGAAGAACGAATGTAGCTCATTGTTATGAAATGTAAAGAAAAAAAGACTAGATCGTTTTCATCGTCGGGTTAGAATAACCATGCGTGAGTTCTTTTAGAGTTCAAATGGTGCTCATAATTCCTCCGATCTAATAAAAAAGGATTTGTTTTGTTTTCCGCAGTCCCGGAAAATAGAATTGACTTGAGCGCATATTCGTTTGTGATTGATTTTATGTGAAACTTAAATTTTTGCAAGGTGACGCATGTGATGACGACCAGGATAATGATGGCATACCTAACATACGGGATAACTGTCCCATGATCAGTAATCCTAACCAAGAACATCACAAGCTATCTTATGATGACAAAGGTAAGGAACAAAAAGTAGCAATAGTCGCTGTGCAAGGGAAGCAAGATGTCGTGAAATATCGTGCGACATGATACTTAAAGAAAACACAAGTTTTTATTAGTTTTAAAAATCCGGTAGAGGTTGATGCTAATACTAATTTTTTTATGAAATTTTTGGATTGACATTGATCCAGAGAAGAAACAATGAAACGATCGCATAGTTGTCTATTTCTTTCGTTTTAGGACTGATATATATTTACATAAAAAGCTGAATCCTATATGCATTTTGAACGGCTTTTTAATTATGATCTATCGGAGGTTAAACTCGTAGATGACGTCATGAAAACACTTTGCTCTTTTATCACATTAAACAGATAAATTCCATATTGCCGTGCATCTGTACGGTATTAGATCACAGAACACGATAAAATGTGGCAAGAACATATTAATTTATTGACTGTGCCTCGTGTGCCTATTTTTGCTCCTACCTCTTCATATTTTGACGTCATCTGTGAACCTATTTGTTAAATTACTGTGACCCCTATGTGACTGGACCAATTTATCAAGGAGCTAAATTATACATTTAAAAGTCACAGTGAATTCCTCCACATATGCCATTTATTTTCAGCTCTTCCTGTGGGCGACGCATGCGTTGAAGATTATGACGGCGATGGTGTCCCGGATGTCGATGACACGTGTCCTCATGCAAAACATATCAGCAAGACAAGCTTCCTCGATCATTTCACAGTGGATTTGTACCCAGGACACAGTGACCCGGTTCCCGAGTGGAGGGTGGCAAAAATGGTAAAGAAAAAGGGAGACTTATGAAAGGTCTTGGACGTGAGGTTTTCCCTTTCTTTTCCTCTTCCCTCTTAGAGACTTCCTTATATTAAAGGAAATCACAAAATGATACGAATAATGATAACGCAAAAAGGCAATCAAATAATGATAAACATCAAAGGAAAATGGATGGCCAAGAGAGATTCTAAATTTAAAAAAAAACTTGAAATAAGGAACTACAAAAGAAGGAAAATTTGTCATTATTATTATCACTATTATCACGATTACAACTATTGGTATTATTATCATTGTCACCATTTTGGATAAATGGTCCCCAATTAACGATATTTGAGAGAAAGAAAACATGAGATATTCATAAAATCATTTTGTTCCCCTCTTTTTTCTCCTCAGAGATTTATGATTAGTTAGGCGATGCACAGTATTCTGCCGGACTGATGTTGCAGTACAACTTAGAGTTGGATGATCTGAGAAATGCAGAAGCTGTAATTTAGGGCTGTTTTATGTAAGAACAATGCTTGGAAGCATCATTAATATTAGATTTTATCCTTAACTTCCAGGGAGTCGATGTTGAACACCTGACCAACACAAATCATCCAGGAATGCTAATATGTAAGTTCCTTATCTTTCATATCTCTTTTGTACATGGTTTTCTTGCTTGTTTGTTTCTTTGTTCGGTTTTTTTTAGGCTTATAATGTGTAAAGTTTTGTGAAGTACAATTTTAGCTTAAGATTACGTTTTCATAATCGAAATTCTTTTCTAACTTTATCGCTGGAATAACTCAGGTTCTACACGTTACGGACCCGTTGATTACAGTGGAACAATCTATGTCAAGGATCGTGAGGGTTCTGACTATTTGGGTGTGGTTTTTGGCTATCAGTCGAATCGAAAGTTCTATGTGGTTATGTGGAGAAGGGAAAACATTAATTTTGGCCAAGCTGATATCAACGCTGGTATAAAGGGACTGCAGCTGAAGGTAGGAAGTTATATCTTAGATATAAAAATAGTGCAAACTAATACCATGATACAACGTAAGACTATTCCTTCATTCAATACAAATATAAAGAAGGAAAAACTAGCCGTTGGATATTGCTGTTACTGGGTTCTGACTGATATCCAGGCAGATAAAACATACCAGGGACTGCAATTGTAGCAGTAAACAAAGACATTTTCCTTGAAATTTGATGCAGATTTTTGAAGTGTTTTAATTAAAAAAAAAAAGGGGGAAAAGGACAATTCCACTCGCATTTGGTGGATATGGGTAGCTAGTGATAATTTTTTACCATTTCAAATTCAAAGCAAGCTCGTTTGATAATTGTTAAATGCAAGATAGAAAAATCGGAAGGTCATGGATTCGAATCCTTTCGGGGACTCGTATTCCTTCTTAGTCTTACGCACTCGACATGATGCTTAGAATATTTCTGTGATTACTCTGTACCTCACTACGGTTATTGTTTTTATGGATACGGTGGAACTGTGAAGTGATTAGATCTGACTTGATTTACAAGTCGTCTCTTACACAAATAGCTTGTAGACTCGAACACTGGACCAGGCCCAGACTTGGCAAAAGCGTTATGGTACTCAGGCGATACTTCAAATCAGGTAATTGTGATTTTTTTTCTTATTCATGGTAGTATAGCGCCAGAACCTCCATACGAAGCGAGATAAAAAACACATCAAGTGAAGAGAATTTGCATTTCAAAAGCGCAGTAACGATCCTCTAGGCGTATCAAACTCCAATTAGGAAAGACAGCTTCACTGCATTTGATCAAGCCCGTAAACACGCTGCAAGCCAAGGCTCAACACCATGCGCTCTGCTGCTGACCTTTTTATACCTTGCGCACGCACAATAAACAGTAGAGGGCGATTTGCAACTGGAAGAAGAGAAACCCTTCCCATTTCAGTACTCTGGGTCTCCAATGGAATTGCACTTTTTTTTTCCAGGTAACTCTCTTATGGGACGATCCACTTATGAAAGGATGGCAGCATCAGACTCCATATGGCTTCCTCGTAACTCACAGACCATCCATTGGTCTGATAAGGTACATGTGGATACTTTCTGCATTGCTTCTGAAAAACAGCAATACATAAAAAAGCCAGGCATATCACTTCAGCATAAAAAAGCCATGAATTTTGAAAATATTTTGTTGCAATTTGGGATAAGTAATTCAAGTCTTCAGAGTCATCAGAGTCATAACCATTGTTAACCCCTCTCTTCAGAGTTCAGATAAAACAAGGAGACAAGATTTTAACTGATTCTGGAAACATCTATAACACAGTCCTGACCGGTGGGAGACTGGGCATGTTTGTCTTTGGTCAACATGACGTCATCTGGTCCAGACTTGAAGCTCGTTGTTCAGACAGGTAAAATGACGTGACGGGTTGAATAACATGATTGGTGTATGCGTTGATATGCTCAGATTACCATCTTATGCTTGCTCTACTCAGGAGAGTTTTCTTTGTTCAAAGTACTGTCAACCTGTGTCTTTCATATCTTTGTATAAGAATGAGCACTATCTAAAGCGTTACTGCCAGAATTATTTTTTCTTTATTGCTTAACGTAATTTGCACGTTTTCCTTCAATTGCAAATGAGCCACAAATGAATCTACACTGAGTGCCTGCGCGCCTTAACTCAGTTTTCCCCTCGATTCCCGATCCTTTCGTCATTTGTTTCTCATGGATGTCGCATTTGTATAATTTCGTCAGAACTTAAGCATTCTTTATTTTGTTGCAGAATAAACCAAGCCTTGATGTTTGACGGCGTCGACGATCACGTGACTCTACCATCCATTCATACTTTAGGTTTAACAGATAGGTATTTATTTCAAGTATAAACATTTTTCACCCATTGTTTTGTACTATTTTTTAATACTATAAACTTAGGATACCAAAAGTAGTCCTATTCTTTTTCAGCTTCACGATCAGTGTCTGGGTAAACATGGCGGCGGACTACCCCATGACTGTCATGCCTATCGTTTGCAGTGATGAAGGAATGCTTTGCCTATACCTTAGAAACAGGTTAAGATTGAAATTGAAAGATCTCGTTAATTATTAATTATCCAGTTATCTATTCAGAAATCCTCGATACATGGCCAAGTGGATTATTTCAAAATACACTCATGGCCAGAGGAAAATGATTTTTTGGCATTGATCCGGGAAATGAACTTTCCTCCGTCTTTGACTTTTTTGTTCGTTTAAAACATCAAGAAATCGCAGGATTCCCAATCTTGAATATCAGAGTAAGGCATCGTGAATACCTAATGCGTCACCTATCCCTGATGTCTGTTATCATTGTAGACTTTGATTCTTTTTTGTTTGCATTGTTTTTTAAGACGCATTCATGGAAACTTAGGAAAATCTACCGTGGAAGGAAGTGAAGTTATAGAACCAGAGGAATGGCATCATCTTGCGTTTCGATTTGATGCGCAACGTATGTTTGATTCATTTGTCGGTTTTTTCTTTCTCTCTCTTTTGGTAGCCAGGTTCTCTTGGACGATATCAGTACTTTTAAGTAAAATCACGTCGTACGTTAAAAGCGCACCCGCTAAAACACATACACATTACTTTATCTTGTTCCAGGACACGAGATTGAAGTATTTGTAAATGGATCATCGGTTGGTAAAAAGACTGATACTACTCCGCACAGCTGGGTAAGAGATGAAATAACTCGTTTTATTCGGACTTTCTGTCATTTTACAATCCAAGAACCTTTCACTAAACTGTGTTCTGTTTTTTTGTTGTTTTTTTTTTTTAGTCTCCCAATATTAAGCTTTCTATTGGACGCGATCAGAAACACTTCTTAAATGGAACAATAGACGATGTAAGTAATAATTAAGAATTGGTTCGTATGTCAGCGTGCGTTCATCGTGTTATGAAGCATGCGGGAAGCATAGAGAGCCCAAAAGATGCGAAGCGAAGAAACCCGATGTGAGAATATCTTTTCGCTTAACGTCATAATCGTGATCAGTTTTGCATCGCAATGCTCAAAGCCATTACGAAAAAAGGATAAAACTAAAAATAAATTAGTGTATGATCAAATCTCCGTTCATTTCTTTCTGACAGACGTATCCATGACAAAAGTGTCGCGAACTGAAGTGTTCATTACTGCAAAGATCACTCATATCCAGTGTCTCGAATGTAGTTTTGTGGCTGTGATTAAAAGATTTAATTTAAAAGATTAGCTTAACTGGAACATCCTTCCCAAATTCTTTTATTTTAAGGCTTTACTTCTGAGGATCTAGTAGATCTCTCTCTTCAAGAACACTTTAAGAGGGTTGCAATGTGTGAGGTGATTTAAGAATGTAGCATTTTTTATCCTTTAAACTCTCTTTGTTCACTATATAATACCCGCACATTGATTTGGATGTATTCTCAGTTAACCCTTTGGGGAGTAAGAGTCCCTGATGATGAGATCATAGAGTACATGAAGCTTGCGGGATTGACTTGGCCTATTCACAAGGGACTGGTACGGGCCCACTTCAATATGGAGGATATTTCCGGTTCGATTATCTTAGATCAGGGAAGCAATGGTTTCCATGGTAACCTTGTTGGGAAGCCTTTGTTTGTTCCGGTTAGTTAATAATGGCTATCGATGTTAATAGATTTCTCGATCTTTGTATCACATCTGAAATTATTCTAATTAGTTTTAGGCCATGGTTATAATATGCAAATTGTGGGTACTCTCTACTAGCTCTCCGTCAAGATTCTGTGTCCGAACAAAGTCCATCAGGCAGAATATGACGACATCATTAAATTTGAAAACGATCTTGTTAAAAATTAGAGAAGATTAGGCTCGAACTGGCTGACCGTTCTTCGCAAAACTTGCTTTTCTGAGTTTAAGAAGGACAAAATTCAACTTCCACGTACGGACTTTAAAAGAATAATGATGTACCTTCAATTTGCACTGATAATGAGGGAGATTTAAGAATCAGAAGGGTTATCCTTTTGCACTTGAGATTGCACAAGGAGAAAGGGCGTAAAAACTCGTCCAATAAAAATCAACCAGTGAATGCTTCGCCGCTAATATTACAGATCTACATTTTTTCGCTACTGCAAGAAAATGTCTCAAGAACTGTATGCATTCTGCCACATGCAAATTCTCTTTGATGCTGTACTAACGTTGGCAGTTTCCTAACGAAACTATATTGGTTACCTAACAGAAAACAAAACTGATAGATAACTTAAGTTTTCAAGAAAAAAAAAAGCTTTTTGTTTTCTTTCAGCAACTTAACCAGCTGTTTAAAGATAAAAAATTCGATTTAAAAAACTCACAGGGAGTGAAAAATATTCTGCAATTCAGTGCAGAATATTTTTCTTCGATGTCGTGATGGATGTTCTAGTCTACCTGTTTGAATTTCCTTTGTTTACCTGTTTCTCGGTTATTGGCCGTTTGAATGCCTTTTTGTTTGTATGATCGTTTCTTTATTTTTTTGTTTTATTACAGAGCACCGTGGATAAAAATCGATTTGTGATCTCCTTTCCAAACAATCGACGAAGAAGAAACATCAGGAGTCCATTCATCGCTACTTGGGCGAGGAGACACTCGGAACTTTGATTTTTTCGTGTTAACTAAGGGCGACTTATATGATATGCAGACCCAACCGTATCCAACAACTTCCTGAGTCCTTGACAGAAGTAATTTAAGGGCCAATCCATGTGCTGACGATATATTTATTCAAGAGAAACAACAATGCTAAGAATGTCTCAGTGAATCAATGAAAAACAGACCCTCATTGAGCATGACAAAAAATGTGAAACTTTCACCGAGAGTGTTGTTTTAATATCTTTTGAGGACTATTTATTTTATCTTGCCTGTTTACTTTTTAAAATTGGCACGTCTGAGTCTGTGTAAATCGAGTTAGACATGGGAGGGAGGGGGTACTTTGGAGGTCACAAGAGAAGCGTAAGCTTTTCTGAAGTTTTATATGATATCCGAGTTGCGTTCAATACTCAAAAGCGTGATATAATTTCTTTTGAAATAAACCAGCATCGACTTGGTTCTGGAAACGTGTTTTATTTCTAATTGAGAACAACCTTTTAGTGATGCACAGTGGAGAAAAGCAAAGGGCTATGGCTGGATAATTGAAGACCTCACCAAACATTGCTCCAGTTTGAGCGAAGCCGTTACATTAAGTTAAAAACCCAAAATTTTGCCCAAAATGTGCTTGCATCTGAGGGTCACAGACCATCACGGATTACTTTCATCGTTAATAGAGACGTCTGACTTGACGAGACGGACGGTATAGTAATAACAGTTTTCACCAGGGAGACCATCTCATTACTGTTATTATACCAGTTTTACTGGTAGGAGAATACTCGAGGATTCCACTATGAGACCTTAAAATAATCTACAAGCACTATTGTAAGACTTTGCCAAATATTTCGGCAAGTACTCGCCTCATTTTTCTTTAAGGGATTCCAGGATTAAACCGCACAATTATCTACAAGAGCAATTGGACTTGGATGAGCGGGTATCACTGGTGCAATATTTTTTTCATTCCGTATACAGGGGATTTCCTAAAGGGGATTCCAGCAGAAAAGCCTACCGGTGTAGTTATAAAAATGGGACAACAACTGCAATGTATTATCATGTGCAAAAGTGCAAATTCGTTCTCTGGAGGTTAAATCTATTTTAACTTCTAGGTACTTTTTGCGAACGATTAAAATTAATTGCAGACGGTTTTTAGGCCGCTTGTCAACCAACGTGATGACACTATTGCTTATACAAATTCATTCTAAAACCAATATTTTTCTGTCAACCAAAGTGACTTGAGAGAGAGAAAAGAGAGGATTCATAAGTTGTGTATCGGCTTGAGGTAGTGACCGACGTGTTTGCTTAAAAATACTGCCCAGCCGGGAAAACGAGATATATTTATGAAAAATGGCAACGAAATTTGGGATGTACTCGGCGATTCACGAAAGCGTTACCGTGGCCCGTGGGCAGAGATAGGAAAATACTGACCGGGTAAAGAACCAATCAGATTGCAGAATTCGTTACCATGCCCTCTTAAAAAAAATAAAATAAATAATGATTATCTAGTGAAGATATAAATTTCCTTTACGTTCAATTTTCAATGTTTTTAATCCCAATTTCAATTTCAAAGAAATTGTATTGTAACTGCATACAAGGAGTCAGAATGTTTCCGAGTACTTTGTCCGGTTCAAATAATTCACTTGATTAGAACAAACGAGGGGTCAGTAGACGCTTTGAAACGTCAGCTTTAAATTCTTTACTGTGGCCTCTCTACATTATCAACTCAGTTGATAGTAAATTACCTTGTCAGTAAACAGTAGTTGACTGTTTATGCCGTATCAGTTGGACGACTGACAAGGATGCCTGACTGGTTGGAAAGATTGACGGTTGAGCGTTTTCAGGTGCTGTTCCTGGCCAACTCTATTGTTTTTGCCGCACGCCACCATTGCTTTCATTTTCCTTCTGAAGTTTTGGCTAAATAGAGCATATACGAAGGGGTTGACAGCAGTATTGAACAAAACCATGACGTTAGAAATGCCGATTTCGACGACACTAGGCTTGTAGTTTGCATAGAGGAACATGGTGTAAGGCACCTGGTTTGCACTCCAACAGATTGCGAAGATGACACTGATGATAACGACCATCAAAGCGAACCGCTTCCTGGCCTTCACCGCGAGCTAAGATTTGTAAGAATGAAAACCTACATGTAATCTCAAGAGAATTATATATCAGTCATACCAAAGTTTAAAACACGTTTTAGAGCCTGTTTACATGAAGATGGGGGACCCCAGGTAGGTGAGGTAATCCGCCAAGTCGTAGTCGAGAAATAACCTGCGTTTGAAAACAATCCTACAAACCCGTGATCCGGGGTTAGATCGGTAGCGCGCTTACGAATAGAACGTGAACACGACTTCGGCTTGGCGGGTTACCCCACCTTGAGACGTTTACATGGGAAACTGCGGCCACAGAGTTAGCCAACCCGGCAGACCGGACAAACAGATTAATGCCGTAAAATGGCCAAAAAATTTAGCCCTTAGGCGTAAAAATTGAAAAATATAAAACGTTAGTCGTTGATAAAGTGAACTGCATAGAGCTTTACAAGGTAATTTTGGCACTACGAACTGAGTTGCTAACGTAAATTGGCCACCGTAAAGAGTTTTAAAGCCGACGTTTCGAGCGTTAGCCCTTCATCAAAGCGAATCAAGAATCGTCATTCGCTCTAAAGAAGGGCTTACGCTCGAAACGTCAGCTTTAAAATTCTTTGCGGTGGCCAATTTAAGTTAGAAACTCAGTTCATAATACCAAATTACCTTGTTATACTCTCCCACCAACGCAGCACTACAGTTTCTTTAGAAGCTTATCTCTTGTAAAATGTTTTCCTTTCTACGATGTGTCATTTTGCATTATTTTAGGTTAACCGAAACGATAAGATGGCCAAACTTCTAACCATCGGTAGTAAAAGCCATCACCCCATATATCATATGTAAGACATTCTTGACGCTACTCACACTCTGCTCTTGATTCACTTGTCGGACACCAGCAGATTTGAACCATAAGGTGTGCACGACTCTAAAGTGCAACACAAAGATCCCAAACAAGGAGCCAAAGACGATGACATTGGAGTAAACCCCAAACGCTTTACCCATCCACTCCTCGGGCCATATACCCGCGCAAAAGTTGTTTCTGAGTTTGTTGATCATGATTAACGGGATATTAAAAACAAGCCCGAAGACCCAAGAGCCAGCTATTATTTTCTGGAAAGCAATAAAATGAAACAACACGTTAAACCCTTTAACCTGTAAGAGTAACTAAAGTTTAAATTTCCCTGTAAAAATATCATTACTTTTTCAAATAAAAAGGGAATGAAAATCAACCAAAGTATATTGTTGGATTTCACCAATAACTGTATCAAAAAAACAAATTCTCGAACAGGAGTGGTTCATAACAGCTTTTACAATTCCACTATTCCGTCAGTTTATCATATTAGGGCAATGGAAAGCGCAAAATATGTGACGGTAATATACTGTGGAACAGGACAAAAATACGGACAGAAACGATTCGCGCGTTTTTTAATTCCTTTGGTGTTTTTAAGAAGTGATTTTTTTTTAGCAAAAAACTTCGAGGCCGACAGAAACTTTTTGGTCATCATGAACACTTAGATGGTTGCTTTTGCCAGTTGTACTCTTCTTCCACGTAAGCCTCGTGGGATCGTTACGATGCTCAGATAAGCTAGTACGAAGTTTCGAAAAGTACTTAACCAAAAGACCAGAAAATGAAATAGTAGTGAAACAATAAATCTCGTATTCGATTGTCTAACATCAAAGACAAGCGGACATTTTGCTCGTTGACTGTAAATATATGAAATCATGCGAACTTTCACTCACTCGAGTGAACTGCGGACTAAGAAACGAATATGGAAGCAATCTTCCCTTTGATGAAAACTACTTTAGCAGTACAGGCTTGAATTTTTTTTCATGCCTTACTTTCACCACTGCTTAAGTAGAGTTCATTACCACGAAGATCGCTTCCATTTTCATTTTGCCCATTGTTCGTATTTTTTCACGCCTCCAAGGGGCTCGGAAAAATGTTACGTAACTGGCAAAATATCCGTCAAAAAGTGAATTACGAATAAAGTCTTTCCATTTTGATAGAAAACCTAATACAAACCTTTACGGCACTGATTGAACATTTCCATTTATTTCCAAGTGGGTAGACAACTGCGTAATACCTTTCGATGGCGATTGCCAACAGAGTACAAATGGCAGCTATTGCTGCTACCCAAGCGAAAGACCCATTGGTTAACATCACGCATAGAACATCACCCGCTAAGCCTGTTGGGTGACTTAAATTGAATCTGAAAATGTACATGGGTATGATGAGGGTCGCGTACAAAGCGTCCGCCATTGCGAGGTTAAGAATCAGATAGTTGATCGGAGTCCTGTGTTTAAAAATACACCCGATTATCAAGAAAAATATATGTAGAGAGTTGTGGGCCACAAAGGCATAAATAAAGGCTTCCAAACAAGAGTTAAATGAAACACACAAACTACAGTCTCGCTCGCTTTCCCGCTTCCTCTCTACCCTCAAAGTTCCCGGCAGGGATTGACTTGTCCTTAATGCGATACCGCTGGCTTTGTATCCTATATTTCTGAACAATGGACCGTTTCCGTCGATGTATAAGCGTTTGTCATCGATCGATTAATTCATTATATTCTTGTAAAAACGAAGAAAACAATTTCACTCCGTGTATCACGCACTCCTCGTACTAAATTTTCCAGATAAATGAACCCAAAACATCCTGGAATCGCCACATGCTTTAACTTTGAATTACACCCTCAATAACTCGAAACCTCGATTACTTGGGGAGCCCAAAAACGCGAAGGAATAAAGTTTTGTGATCAGATGAATTTCCTTGCAAGCCTATATAAATACCTCATGTCTCGATGTTTTCGAATTATCGCACAAACCAGTGAATTTCCGATGATATTTACAACGACAAGTGTGAAGAGAACCAACGTTATGACAACAGAAGCTGACATGACAGTGCTGTTTTCAAAAGCTAAATGACAATTAGGAAAAATAAAATGAGAATGGGTTATCCATCAAAGCATTACTAATTATATGCTTAAATGCTCTGTTTTATTGCCTGACCATGTAGTATACACATTTCATTAGTTCTAGTCAACCGATTTCGTGTAAAGTACATGTATTTTACACTCTCATGAGTCTTATGGGTGCCTTTTATGTAACACGCAGGTGCGTGTAGTGACGCGCAGTTTGCGTGTTGCGTACGTGCAGCGGTGCTGTAGTTCACTGACCTTGGAAGATGAGGCATTTGTTGTCAGAACGCTTACCGAAACATTATTATAAAAATGGCAAAAATGGACAACAACGTTCTTAATTTTTTTGACTGCGTAAACCAAAACATGAACCAAGCACGTTAACGATTGGAAGTTAGACAAGACATAATTTGGAAACTCATCGCGATAGTTTTAGCCTATCTTATCTCCTGAAAATGAAAACTTCGAGCTGTTGGCACTTTGATAGGGTGTGAAGTATGTGTTCTAAAAAAACACTTTCATTTCGCAAAAAAGAACTACTCACTCCTCACAAGTTACTGCGCAAATTTTACATATGTAACTGTCGCCCACTTGATATTTTTAATATCCGTCGTATTTACTTCGATTACTCGTGGTTTGGTTACACGCGCCCGAACGGACTCAGATGGCCCCACGTTTCCAAGAAGCTCGCTTTTCATTAAGCAGAAAAACTGAGAAATTAAACCATCGTATAATACGTGTATTTAAAAACCACTAGGGGACTGTAAAAAGTTACCTTATATCAGTTACGAGTAGAAGATCCCTCTTGTTAAGAAAAAGAACGGTCCATTGCTTTCCAATTTACCTTCACAAGGTGCGCACAGGCCAATATAATCACGAGATATATGAGAGTTGTAGCATGCGTTCAACAGTCCGCGAAGTAGTGGAGAACAAATGATACAAGTATTATATATCTAGAGGAAATGAATGAATAGCAATTGAGTCGTAAACTCCTCCCCTGACAAGGTAATCCGTCATAGGATGACAGAATTGATAGATCTTTCGTTCAACTCCACTAAGTTTTCTTTTTTTCATTTTCGAGCGGGGAACATTTCCAATGTATTATCTACTATCTTTAGTTAGTATTGTGTGATATTTTTACAGAGTTAGATCAAATGAAGAAAAGTGAGAGATTGATTTGGGCAGGAAGAGTGGGAATTTATCATTTTTCTTTTTAAATATATCGAATTCTTCAAAGGCAAAGCACAGCTTACTCATTAATGAAGATTAAATTCAATTCTTTAATTAACTTAATTACAATCGCAAACATGTGGTAGACTTATTGCAATTTTGACTTTTTCAAAAGACTTGACTTAGGCTAGACTTTTTCCAGCCTTAGAGGTTCTTTTACTTCTACCTTGATATTTCAAACACCAGCTGTAGTCTAATTTTTACTGAGCCAACGACGCTGTGTACCTGACAACAGTGCACACTATTTCTATCTCATTCGACGACATCCAGATATTCTGCGAATTGCGAAATATTTTTCAAAAATTATGCTGCTTTCCAAAAGAGAAGGAAGCGAAAATTCGCTTCGATAAAAAAATATTTTTGCCCGCAAAATCAATTTACTGACATAATCGATACTTTTTTCGCATCTTCACTCGTAGGGACTTTACAAAACCAAGGACGAGACACAAATTTGCTATATCTGTATGACCCGATCAATAGAAAGGTCATAAAAAGCTGGAGACTTAGTGTCATTGTTAAAAACTTCGCTTATCCAATAGAAAAGGACAACTGCTCCGATAACATTTTTTTCCGATGTCAGTCAATATCAAGAAATGACGCTAGAAATCGATGAAAGGAACACAGCAGCTGGGCATTTCTCACGGTGCTGGAGACTGAATAATGAAAACTGTTGAATTTTTTATTTTGAATATTTGTTGTCTACCTTCCGAGAAGAAGTGTATTTCATAGTAAAAAGTTTGTTTTTCAGCATTTTCATTAAGAGACATCCAGATATTCAGCATTACCTTTTTTGAATTGGATACACCTTAAAAACCCGTCATTAAGATTGTTCTTTTGAAAAGTTCTTCCTTACTGCAAAGAAGCAGAAAGTACGTCTCTTAATAGGATTGAAAGCTGACCTTTCGGCTTATCCTACTTTTGAAATGCCATAAAACCAATTAATTAACAGTGTTTGAATGTAACGCATCTCGCCGCTCACAAGTGTCTAAGAGCTTTCCTTTTTGATTATCATTGCTAATGGATAGCATTAAAGGTAGAACCCAGAATATGCCACTAGACTTTATACAAGTGTTGAAAAAAAAAACACAGAAATAAAAGAGAAGCGCACTTTTTAAATCAAAATTTAATCAGGTGTTTTTGTCACAATTCTGGTTTTTTTTCAATAGCTACAGATCACAAATGATGAACAGTGGAGGTTTCCTTTCATAAACGAGCACGGTAACCGTTATTGCTTGTTGGTGTTATCTACTACTTATGGACAAACGAAAAATAATCTCGTGGAAAGAAAAAAAATGGATCTTATCAGTTGGGTTATCATCAATGACATTTGAGTTACATGAACCTCTGCATTTAGAACCAGGGAGAGTATATGAGGTAATGGCGAGACGTTACAACTTCCATATCATAGGCTCCTGTTCTACAGCGTTGCATTATTTCTGAAACCTCAGAGCTCAAGAAAACAAAACGATTTTGTTCTCAACGGTATTCGTTTTTTTTTTCCTTCGATTGATTCTTGTACAAATCAGTAAAAAAAAAAAGTACAATAACTGAGGGGAAAAAACTTGAAGTATGTTTACTTATTTAACAATCATTCCCCGAAGTGGAGGTGTATAGTGGTGATTATTTACCAAGCTACGAAGTGGAAACTTCCATAACTGCGTGGCTGAGGTGAAGAGAGCAGACAACCGTGGTAGATATAAAACAAGTGAGCAGCACTGATGGGAAGGGAATTTTTAACGCTTAAAGAATATTTGTTCTGTATTGCTACAACTGGCCGGTTGGTTACATGCTTCAGAGATATAAACGTCATCCAGAAAACGAGAGTAATTCTAGAAAAATAATGATTTCACTGGTCTAAAGAGTTGGAAAGTATAATTTTTTTACGATCTCCAGTGAGCCCTGAAAATTTAGTCGTTAAGTTTCTTTCGCTAGCTATGGAATACAAGTCAGTTAGGGAGCTAAGTTGAATAGATGAGACGCGTTTTGCTCAATTGTCATACCATTAAGGAAAGGCCGATGATTGCTCATGATTTTTGTTTGTTTGAGTTTTGCTTCCCTGAAAAATTTGAACACAACAACTTAATTACCTTCAACAGATATTTCTCTCTGAATGAAAGTAGCAGATCACAGCTGGGACAGAAAATGTAAATAATGAAAGTTGGAGCACGCAACAATCTATAAATAGAAATAAAACTTTACAAAGTTGAATAAAGTTTTTCCGGCCACCTTAAGCCAGATTCGAGAAACATCAAAGACTGACTCTCTAGTAAAGAGACGTTCCTTATAGGTAAGTTGCAATTAAAGAAATTGCGGTTAAAAAGCTTAAAAAAAAGGCAGAAACTAAGCAAATGTTAATAGGTTAGGACATCTAGTCACACTCAAATGATATAAATCATGTTTTTTACCCACAGATGGGATATTAGTACAGAAATGAACCTCGCAGGTAGGCTGCAGTCAACGAAATTGCAGAGCAGAAGCCTGAAGACATGCAAACTTTGACGAGACTAGAACCCTTAGCTCCCACCGAGTTATTATCACAATTACGCGCTGCTACCAACTGACAAACTGTGGAAGACATGTTAGGAACAAGGCAAATTCTAGTTGGTTCTCCGTTCCGATAACGGCATCTGAGCATAGTTAAATAAAATATATCGATTTTGTTTTACGGGTAATGTACAGGTAATCAAATGATTCCCGTGGGTGAGCCACAGGAAAATGCAGAATAGACTTCTATGATATTAGCTGAAAAAAGCAGAATTTTCAAGAACACCCACGAGTAACTACCACATAAAAGATCATCTTATATCTAAAGCTTAAACAAAATCAAGATTTATTTAGATGTTACATTTTTGCCTTTTATTGGATTTTTAACGATTTTATTCAGAGAGAAAATCACATTCTTTCATAGCGATCTTGCCCGCTTATGGCTTGCTCCTCTTTCAGATAATTTAAGGTGGCTTCTTAAAATATTTACGATTGAACTTCCCTTCAGAGCGCGAGTTACGCAATGAAACCTAGTTAATCATGTTATCGCAAAGTTTTCTTTCAAGAGATTTACCAGTTTGGCTAACGATATAAGGCTTCTGTTTTGAGTGCCAATGTTTAGATTAGGGACGTAAACGTCGCAACATGATCTCTATCGACAGGCAGATACAATTTTTGGCCCCCTATGAAATGTTTTCATTCCTCGCCACATGGAAATGATATTGTCTGACCGTTTGAAATGGTAAAAATTCAAGGTCGTTCATTTGGTCTTGACAGTATTCTCTGATTTGTCATTTTTCTCAATATAACCGATTTATTCATATAGACTTTTTCAAAAAAATAGGCTATATGATATGGACTGTATGTGGTTGGGACTGAGCCAATTTTCCAAGTTGCCGCACGTCTGTTCATTTAAAATAATAAGAACTATAACAAAATTCTCTAACATGATTGGTTGCCACAATAGTCATACTCGTAATTAACGAATCGGACCCTTACTGACTGAGATGTGATTACGGATCGAATTGAACTCCACTCAGTCCTATTATTATTACTAATAGATCACAGACGACGTCAAAAAGTGGCAAGAACTAAAAAGAGGCACCCGATGTGCGGCTGTTCCACGGTACAAATACATATATTATCTGCATACAGATATCTCAGCAAGTTTTATTATTACTATTTATAAATGGCAATTACTAGTAAGGAATTTGTTTATATTTAGAAATATTGATCATGTCAACGTTAGTTAAACCGGAACAATCATTAGACAACCGCCTTTGAAGAGTTCCCAAACACTGAAGTTAACAAAAAAATGAAGTCCTTTTTCGCCTTTGATACGAAAAATTTTCCCCTTTGAAAGGTCTAAGAGTCGCGCAAACAGTGGTAAACTGGGCATTAGTGGAGCGTTTTACTTTGTATAGAATGATTTACTGCGTAAAACTTAATCTGCACCCAAGAAAACCAACATAACATCTTGACTTAAAATAAACACGAACCTCTCATCTAAACAATGGAGTCACATTAAAAGACTGATTTTAAAATTCAGCCACTTGATAACTTTTGTTGGCTTGAACCTTTTTCATTCTCGTTAAGACATACATTCTCACGCCTCTTGGTAACATTTGTCTCCATAAGATGGTGCACCGTAAGAAATATTATTTGTTTAAGTTGAATAGGAACACATAAATTATTTCAGAGACAATACAGCAGTTGGAAACTGATTCTGGACTGTCCTTTCAACAATGCCCAATCATTTTAAGTATTTGCTTCCTTGATGCTCTAATGTTCATCCAAATGTAATCCACCCAGACGCTCCATTGACAAGAGATAGTTGTATTGAGTTTTCTGCAAGATCTATAACCTGGATTGAGTCGAAATTTCTTTCCTTCATGTACAAATCCTCTTTCTCGCAAACTTACTACCACTCTGGGCTGTTAGCTGCATCCTCAAATACCTGGGACACCCAGAGAAAGAGATGGAAATTATCGTAAGAATTAGATGTAAATAGATGTAAAATGTAAGTCGGGGTGACTACTGAGAGAAACGCTAAACCTTTCTCAAATCGTGCAATTCTTTCATTCGTCTTCAGAATGAATAGCAGTGATTCGTTAGTTATTAAAAACGAGACTTTGTCTATATAAACAACAATAAATTATACAAAATAGCTCATACCTCCAGAAGATTTCTAGGCCCAACTACATTGTTGGTCATAAATCCTCCCTCGTGAAACAGAGGCCCTCGCCTTCTTTCTGAAGGAGGAGTATATCTCTCGTGCTCAGGGCTACTTGTATGGAATGGTGGAGTAATCAGTTGTTTACTGGTCTCTTCATCTCTTTCTCTGTTGCTATTGTGAAGTTAAGGAAATAACAGGAGCTGCTTTGCATAACTTTCAATGAGAAATATTATCTAGGAAATGGAAACCTTTG